CACTGCACCCCAGCTTGGGTTACAGAGCAAGACACCATTCATCTCTCTCTCTCTCTCTCTCTCTCTATATATATATATATATATATATACACACACACACACACACACACAAATATATGTATAAATATATATCTAAATATATGTATAAATATAAATATATACATAAATATTTCTAGAAGGATTCTCAAAGTGATACCAGTGATTGTTTTGCAAGAGGGAAACTATATATCAGTGAATTCGCTATTTAAGGCGATTTTTGAATTCTGTAGCATATGTATGATTTACCTATACAGAAACCAGTCAAGCATGTGTTTCTCAAATGTAGAATGTTTGCAGTGAGGTCACTTGGTGAAAAGTATGGCTATGTCAGACAGATGTAAGTTCAGATTCCAGGACTTCCAGGACTGCTGAAAGGGAAAGGGGCTTTGGAGCTCCTTCAGCTCCAGTTAGCATTGCTCCTTTCCCAGCTTTGACATTAGCTGGAGGGAAGACAAGTTCTTAGAGCTCTATGTGCTTGGGGCAAGACCCCTTCCCCCCACTGCCTTACTCTCCAACCATAACTGCTGCAAACAATTCTTACCTCTTCCACCCCATGTCACTTCCTAAAAACCTTCATCACCTGGACTCCCATGCCTCTAAGTCTCTGTACATCCCCTAGCCTGACACTGTCCCCAACCCTCCTCAACTCCAGACACCATTTCACTCTACCCTCTGGAATTGAATAGTCCATTATTAGCAAAATCTCCTAATTTTTAACCTCCTTTCTAAATATTTTCCCCATGTTCTTGCTGTAGTAGTGACCCAGCTTTACCACTTTTGCAGTCCTCTAAAGTGGTAACTGGTTTCTCTGCCATACATTTCATACCACTGGTCCTGGAGATATTGTCAATGTCTTAATGTCTTCCTTCCATCTCACTTAAATTTTGAGACCATAATCCCTTTTTCCTCTCTTAAAAATTCTCAGCGTTGAAGCTCAATCCATTAGATACCTCTAGCTGGCACTACTAGTTGCAGTCCTGTGCAGACTACCGAGTCATTTTCTTTACTCCTTGAAGACTTAAAGTCTATCTTACTCTCACTCTCTCTGACACTACTCCTATTAAAATATTATGTTTCTTTAACTATTTTTTCAGTTTTTGGTCTCCTCTCCTTCAATGAGGATGATTTCTAGAATGTTGATTCTCAAAATGTGGTCCCTTTGCAAACATCATCAGCATCTGGGAACCTGTTATAAATATGAATTCCCAGACCACACCCCAGACTACTAAGCCCAAAACTCTGGGGGCTGGAGCCCAGAATCTATGTTTTAAGAAGCACTTCAGGTGATTCTGATGAAGATGTCTGTTCCTTAGATGTTGTTATTGTCATTACCGACAATTTTCTCTGAGACCACAATTTGAGTCTCTGATTTTTCACTAGTTCTCAACCCATTTTAAGTCCTTACTTTCCCCTTGCCAGCCAGACATTTGAATATTCCTTAACTCTTGTCTTTCACATACCGTATCCAAAGAGTCAACAAATGCTGTCAGCTATACCTTCAAAATACTTATAGAATCTAACTTTTAACCTCCACTGCAGTCATTCCAGTCCAAGCACAATCATTTCCCACCTGGAGTGTTGCAATTGTTCTTATTTGGTGGCCCTTGGCCCTACTTTATCTACTTTCCACAAAGCAGCCAGAGTGTTTCTTTCAACACCTAAGGTCATATGGCTTCATTGATTGAAATTCAGCATAAGTCACCTCTTTCTCTACGCAAGCCAAAGTCCTTGTAAATGCCTGCAAGGCTCTAGGGTGACCTGACCTTCCCTGGCCAGGAAGTCATGCCCACCTTTGCCCTCCCTCCCTCCCACTACTAGTGATCTTCATTTTTATTTTTAGAAGGTATTACATTACCACGTGACATACTCTTGTTCCTTTCTGTCTTGTGCCATTAGAGTGGAAGCTTCACAAGGGCAGAAGCTTTTCCTGTTCACTGACAGAGCCTCCGTTTCTGGAACTCTGCCTTGTACTGAGCAGACATGCAGTTATTTGTAAATAAATGAATATAGGAAGATAAATTTGTAGGTATGTGTGTGATAACACTGTCCTTATTGGGACTACCCCTGCTTGAGAAGTAAAGCAGGGCATTCCAATAAGTTTACTAGGTAAAGTAAACTTAATCAGGATACTTAACCTAACACTTGGCCTCTGGTCTTTAAGCAAGTTTCTTTTCCTGTCGCGTTTCATATAAGTAAGCTCTAGGTTACTTTTAGTAAGCTAAAAGTAAGCTTAGTCCTTCATGGTTAAAGGACAGCAATATTGTCCTTTATGGCATTTAAAAAACCCAATCCAGAACCACACATTGCACTTAATTTTCATGCCTTTAGTCTCCATTAAATATGTTGCCCTTTGTATTAATAATTAGAGTGATGAGGGACAGAGTTTAAGAATATATAAATATTTTGTCCCCAACTGATTGTCACTGGATGGCTTTAGCACCTATTGGTGATTCTTGCCTGAACCAATAATTATTGCGATGACCGAAAATAGTGATTTTTCTCTTTATAATTCGTCTATATTTATTAATTACCCTAATATTATTCTATAGAACAGAATGTTCTCTTCTCATCTTTTGTTTGTTTAGTGTCAGTATTACTCATGAAGTTGGGTGTTTTGAAAATTCAATTGTTGTATAATCTATTACTGTTATTATTCCGTTTTGTATTGTCTCAGTTTGGGTCTTTCATCTGAGTCCTCTCATGTAAGTAGTATAAAGATCAGCAATAGAGGAACCTAGAGTAAAGTGTGAGCAGAGAAGCCTTACTCTGAGACAAACTTCAGAGAGGTGAACTCTGTTGCTGATTAAGAAAAGCTTCACTGAGGAAGTGTTGTTTGAAGTGAGCTTTGAAAAGTCATAAAATTTTGACAATAGTGGGGATGGGGTGGAGCATAAAGGAAAAACTGTGTGAACAAAGGAAGGTCTGGCAGACTGGGAATTTGGCAATAATACAATGGTTCTGAACCTTGATGAGGAAGTTGAAATGGAACATAAAAACCCTCCGCATTTCACTTCATTTATTTGCTCAGGCAGCTCTCATTGCCTAAAATTTTCACCCCTGCTGTTTTGCTAAAGGGTGGGATAAGGGGTAATGAGGGAGGAAATTTTAGGGGGTGAAAACAGCACAAGCCTAAAGCCCCACTCAGATACTCACTTCTCTTGAAGCCTTTTCCAGATCCCTAATAAGAACTAACCACCCTCTCTGACACACTCTGTTGTACTTTGTGCTTCTCTGTTAACATTCCTCTGTGTTTTGTGCTGTCTGTATTTGTGGATACATCTTCCTCCTTTAAAGTACAAATCATATCTTAATCCCTTGGCCCTTCTACCCAGTACTTAGCACAAATGCTCAGTAAATGTTTCTTTTTTTTTTTTTTTTGGAGACAGAGTCTCGCTCTGTCGCCCAGGCTGGAGTGCAGTGGCCGGATCTCAGCTCACTGCAAGCTCCGCCTCCCGGGTTTACGCCATTCTCCTGCCTCAGCCTCCCCAGTAAATGTTTCTTTAACACGTGTGACAGAGAAAGGAGAGGAGAGTGATTGGGATTGGGAGCAGGAGGGTTCTGAATGTCATTTTAAGGGGTTTGGGCTCGCTCTTGGCAGCAATGAGCCATAGCCGCCTTTGAACTGTGCAGCACTTATCAGAGCTGTGATGCCAAAGGATGCAGTGGAAGGGGAGGACAGCCAGCATGCCTGGGCACGGTCCCCAAGTCAGAGGACATCAGTGGGAGAAGGCATGGAAGCAAGTAGCTACCATCTTATGAATCTGAGCACCCATTCAAATGTGGCAAGGAAAAAGGAAGGCATTGAGCATGGTTTTGAGGTTTCCAGCCTGGGTGATTGGAGGCTGATGCAGGCTTCTTACTAAAAAGGGCCCTAGGCAGTTTCACCAGGAATGTTTAAGGAGTTTATCATGACCCTATCTCTTCCTCATCTAAAAGTCTTCCTAAAATCAAAACAGTATGTCCTGTGGAAATATTTCATTGTATCAAATATAATGAGAAGTAAAATATTCTCTCTACTTGACGTATGAAACACTGACTCCTTGTAGTGGACAATTTTCACTTGTCTTTTTAGTAATGGATTTTATTAAAAATAGATGTTAATAACTGCTTCTTTAATCTTTAAACGTGGCCCTCTGAGAGCAGCTTACCATAAAAGAAACGGTTGTCAGCTTTCTTTTAGCTCCTCAGTCCCTCCTGCCCCTTCCTAACAACAGAAAATTTGCTTTGCACCTGCTCCAACTGGGTTCGAAGAGATAAGCATCTTGCAAGCCCAGAAAATTGTAGTATCAAATCTCAGCCCCAACTGTGAGGCAGCACTGTCATCGAATCCCTGCTGAGAGGCGTTGCTTTCCCAATTCCCAAAAGAGTTCTTTCTCCCCGGCCCCTTTTCAGGCTTGAACTCTGACCGAAACCCTCTTTTTAACTCCCAGCATGCACTGCACTTGGTACTGACACTGACCCATCCCTGCTTCCTCTATTCTGCACTGGACTCATCAGTAGGTCAGGCGTTGGTAGCCCCGGGGTCACTGGGGTGCCCAATTCCAATAATGAGCACATTTAGCCAAGGAGAGGAAATGTACCCTTCTATTTGTTACAGTCCATTGCTTTTTTCCAGAAACAAATGCTAAAAGAACATTTGATATATTGTGGTTTGGTAAATACACATATGCACTGCCTAATATTCACAAAGTTGCCTCTCTTTTTTGCATCTTCATAAAATAAATGTATTGTTCTAACTCATGATTTATTTTAAGAGGGATATACCTATTTCACAGCTAGGAAAAATGTAAGTGTTTTAAAATAAAGTTATATTCAGAATTCTCTTGCAATAATTTCAAATAAAAATAGCAAATACTATTTAAATGCATATCACATTCTAACAGACTTGTGTGTCATTTTAAAGGGAAAGAAAAAAATGCTGACAAGGACTTTACAACGTTGTCTTTAAAATTTCTTCTTAGGCTTTCCAAACAGACCGAAGTCATTAAAAATACTCCTTAACCCCGAAAGTCACAAAAAAGAAGCTACCCAGGTTTATTATGAGAAGGTTGAACCTCTGTTGAAGCTTGCAGGAATAAAAACTGATGTAACAGGTAAGTAATTTTCAGAATATAATTTCACCATTTACAAAAATGTACAAAAGCAAGATAACCTGAATTTGTTCTTAATGCAAACTTGGGAAACTACTTGTAATATCTACAGCATTTTTATGTCTTCATAACCTACTGGAGCCAGCTTGAGGGTTACAATTTAATTATTTTTATTAGAATGTTAATATTTTCTCTTTAGAACTTTTCAGATTTTTTTTTCAGACGTAAACAATTGTTAGATATAATTCTAAAGGAAGCTATATACTTGTTTACATCTTCATTGAGATGTTTGCTATTTACATGTTAATTTTGCAGTTAGGCAAGCAATTGATTTTTTGCTCGCTTATATAGTTGTCGTTCCATAGAATTCTTCCTCGGGTTGTTTTTGTTCTGATTCTGACCCCTGCTGGTTAGGTCAAAACTAAGCACTGAACTGCTGGTTTTATTAATAGATGAATTTGGAGAGGCTAGAAGTTTAAATTTGTTGTCTAAACTAAGAAGTGTACTTAGGTTTGTGCCAAGGAAAATAGAAATTTGTTAATGCTAAAATTATTACATGATTAGTAATATCCTTTTTGATTTTTTGAATTTGGTGGCCACATTTCTTTATTTCTTTAAGACTTATTTTTGTATGGTGGGGAACTGAGTAGAAGAGTCGATGCTATGGAGAATCACAACTTTCCTAACTTTATTTCTATGTGGCTTCACTAGCAGTGGAAATTTGCAATAAATTTTAATTAATAAAAAATATTATAAAATAAGCCTACTCAGGGGACAAGCCCAGAGTGCAATTGGAATTTCCTAGTCCCAGTTATAAATTCCTAAGGAAGGGATTCACAGTGATGTGGCCTTACTCAGGTGTAAACAAAGGAGATAGGTTTCAAGACGTAAATAATGTCATTGAAGGCTACACCTAGTGATTTGGTGGACTGAGGTAGAAGAAAGTTCCAAAAAAAAAAAAAAAAAAAGCAAGTTTTGTAGGAAGTTCAGCCCCCATGAAGTGTGCTTACAATTATAGAGGTTCAAGAGAAACTACCATGAAAACTCAAGGGGAATTTTTGAATTAAAATAAAGTTATAGTGAAGAAATTAACTTTCATGTTTGTGACCTTTGGCTTATTTAGAGGTGATTTACAAGTAAAAGAGAAAATTCAGATTTATGTTTTCTTTCTTTTGAAGATTTCCAAAGATGGGCTGAAGGAAAAGTTTGAGATTTGTATTAGGGTGAGACAATTAAAAGTTGAATAAACATGTTGGCATACTAAATGACTATTTTGTGTCATTGCTTTTACATGTGAATACTACAAAGCAAGCTTGACATGGATATTGCTATATAGCATTCACTTCAGGAATCTCATTGTATGCTTGCTCTGTGTTCAGCGTTGTGCAGGATGCAAGATCAATAAGATATCATACTTGCAATTGGATGACTTTCTATGTTATTAGGGATTCAAAGAGATACTTAAAATCATTATAGCTGGGGTATACATAAAATAACTTTAATGTCTCAGAGGTGATATTTTGATCGGAAGGTTCAAGAAAAGCATTTGAACTAGGCAGTTTTTAAGAGGGAGACAAAAAATGAGGGAAGGAAGTCAGGCTAACAGGCATGTACTGTAAAAGTGGGGCGGGGGAGAGAGAGAGAGTATATGTGTATGTGTGAGAGAGAGTCTGTGTGTGTTACACCCACACGTCTTGAGAGTTTGTGCCATAACTTTGATCTACTTTCCTCAGTTTTGACATTATCTGAAATCTTATCCTATCATCATAAATTAGCTGCCAGTGGATTTGATCCTTTCTTATTAATATCCAGTGGGATGGGGAGAGGTGTGCATATGTGTGCGAGAGAGACCCAACATGCTTTAATCCTGAAGATGAATTAAAATTTCCTTTTTTCAGTTTGGGTACAGATACTGTATTACTGCAGTCAATCTGGAATAATCATTTATTTAACCATCAAGACTCTTCCCAGGGGCTGAGGGCAGATCCCCTTTTCCTGATGGCTGAAATGCCTCAATTGAATCTGGATTCTGTTAGGGATAAGAAAGGGCAAAATGACTTCTAGGAAAGCTCTCAACAATGTATACTACAGGAGATGTAATTCCAGGTTATGAATGAATCCTAATGCTGCACTCAGCAGTTTACTCATCATGTATTGATCCACAGTTGGTGTAAAATTTTTTTTTATCATAGTGTTGCAATCTGATTTGGCAAGATGACTCCACCAGCAGAATTAAAATTTAAAAGGAAGAGAAAAAGAGATTGGAGACAAGAAAACTGGTATACAAAGCCTGAACTAAGGCAGAGGAAATAATCTAAATGTGCTTTCCTTCTTTCTTGTATTGGAGACAAAAATATTATGTCTAGAATTTTGTTCTCTAAATTTGTAAATATTACTAAGTACCATATTTAAAAATAAAACAATAGAATATTCCATAAAGCAAATTTAGAATTTACTTACATTTATGCCGAATGGCTAATTATTAGCGGCCTAACACTCCTCCTACAGGCAAATTTATAAAATTACATCCTTCACTTATAAAACCATTTTAGTATGCATATTGGCTCAGTATTTATGAAAAAATATTTCTTGAATAAACCTGAATTTTTGAAAAGTTTTAGTCTTTCTGCCTATCTTACAGTGTTATTTTTGTGGTTGAAATAATATATTTGAAACTTTGTATATTATACTACAGAAAGATGGTCATAATACTGTTTCAGTTTCAAAAATTATGTCATAGTAAGATTGAATTTGTATTTTATTTGAAAAAAAAAAAAGCATATGGAAGAGTAAAGCAGAAAGAGGACATATCTTCTACATGTCCAGTGGGACATTGTTGTAATGTATCCTTGTGTGCATGGGTGAATCCAAATGGAATTGGAATTACAAAATAAACCCTATATGATGAGTTCATTAGGAAATAGTGCTATACAAATATGAAGTATAATATGAACAATTACAGCTAGATATATACACAATAAGGTATTGTAATTTTTTCATAAATTTATTTTAAAAATGGATCTTACCACATTAATAAAAATATACTTCTTTCAGCTTGGGTTATGCCAGAATCCTAACTACTTCTGAATATAGATCAGCATGTTTCAAAATATTTGTGCTAAAGTTGCATCCCCACTCTGCTACAACCACCAATGTAGCATCTTATCTAATGACATCAGAAAAACTTCTGGGAGAACCTGGGAAGAATTATTTTTTCCCAATTACCTATTCATACACAAATCAAAGAAGAGTATGAACTATAAGCCCACGCTGGCATATGATATCATTTCTCTTGCTTCTAAAACAAAGCAGGTTTTAGAGATTGTACCATTAAAGGTGTGAGAGATATTTTGAGGATCAGAGATCCATAGGATAATGCATAGAACAATAGAGTGAAAAAGTTAAGGCAGCAGAGAAATCAGACTGATAAGAACTTTTGAGGCCATATGGTTCAATTTTTTCCTTGTGGGTGGAGCACAGATGTGTGGCGCTAAACTTTGGCTTGGCCACCTACACTAGAGGCAGAGTATGTTGTTACTGGACAGTACTGTTTGACATTCTTTTTTTTAAATTATACTTTATGTTCTAGGGTACATGCGCACAACATACAGGTTTGTTACATATGTATACATGTGCTGTGTTGGTGTGCTGCACCCATTAACTCGTCATTTATGAATGTTCAGAGTTACTGTACCTTTGGGCAGATTAGAAAAGGCACTTCCTCTGTGCTAACTTACAAAAAGTTGCCCTTTCTTCCAGGCTAATTCATCCTTTGCTTATAAAACCATTTTAGTATGCATAATGCATTTAGTATGCATATAGTATGCATAGTATGAAAATATTTCATACTTTCAAAATATTCATATTTCAAAAATATTCAGCCCAAGGTCACTAGATTCAGCCTGGGGTCATTTGTTAGATTGCAAATTCATCATTCCTGTTGGCCAAGTACCTTCGTGCTAGGCATAAACTGTACAAAGTGAGAACTTGTGAGCTGACATTTGCCTCTTTGTAATTTTTGTCTACTAGAGTTAATGTTATCTTTTGTAGTAATATGAAATCAATGTGCCCCATCTATTGTATAAGAGTCATTGAGATATTTGAAGACAGATACCCTGTCTGTCCCTCATCTCTTGTTCATGATAGGTACTTTCATTGCCTTCAGTTACTTTTTTGCATTAACAGAGCTGCTAGACTTTATCATGGTCATTATCATTATCATAGTCAAAGACATTTATCTGAAGGAAACCTTGATCTGTGCCAACTCAGGGCTCTTGGGAGTGCCTAGTCACCAGATAATTTTACCTCCTGGGCAGAGGTGTCAAGAAAGTGGTGTTTGTTATCATTTTCCTCTTCCTTCTCCTAAAATCACGCTTCTAACATGACTGTTAACAAGTCTCTTTGTAGTGTTTCTGTGGCTGCTTTTGGCTCTACTTGAAGCCTTCCATTTCTTGGAAATGTCTCTTGCCATTCTAAATCTCACCCAGCAGAAAGCTAGGCCATCTAATGAAACTGTGTCACAAAAGATTCCAGTAGCCTGAGACATCACTCCTTCCAATTTTACCTGCATTTTAATGAAAAATCTGAAAAGTAAATGCTCATGCATCATATCTAGCTAGAGAGAAAGATAATTCTGTGTAAAAGATTCTTTGTATTACCTCTTAAATAATTATGGGTATATATGGCCAATCCTGTTCCCAACATTCAGATGTGAGTTAGGAAGTTGGAACTTTATACCTGGGGACAATGAAGACTCATTAATGGAGTATATACAAAAAAGTGATATGATTAAATATGTGTCTGAAAATGGTTATTCTGGCTAGAGTTGGGGAGAGGTTTGAGGGAGATAGGATAAAAGGCTATTGTAGTACAGGTGGAGTATCTCTTATCTGAAAGGCATGGGACCAGAACTGTTTCAGATTTAGGATGTTTTTAGCTTTTGGAATATTTGCATTATACTTAACCAGTTCAGCATCCCTAATTTGAAAATCTGAAATTGAAAATGCTCCAGTGAGCCTTTACTTTGAATGTCATGTCAGTGCTCCAAAAGTTTTAGATGTTGAAGCGTTTTGGATTTTAGATTTTCCAGTTACAGATACTTAACTTGTCTACACATGAAAGATATTTAGTGATCAGATCTAGGGAATTAGCTGGGAGAAATGGAGGAATGCTGTGGCATAATTTAAAGACAGAAACAACTATCCTTGGTCATGGAGTGGTTCTGGAGAGTGGAGGAAAGGGACAATATAGAAAGAAGTCATTTTCCTGTCTTGGAGTAGATGACGGAACACAAAAAGAACAATATATTTGAGAGAGAATATATTTGAAGGTTTACATAATGGATTTTCTTTTGAGCTTATTAAGTTTGAAGTACCTACAGGACAGGAAATGACATTTCAGTATCATATCCTGCACTAGAATTTTATTACCAAACCAAGAAATATTTATATCCAAATCAAATCTCACCTGATTTTATTTCAGCTGATTTTCTCATCAACATTCAGTATCAACCTTAAGACTTTCTCTTGTGTTCCTGAAGTTACATTTGCACCGAAAAGGGGAGGGGGACATTCCCAGCAGTGAGAACTGTGTTCAAAAACCTGTAAACTGTGAAGACTTCTCATCTCCTATTTAGAGAGAGCACAGGTTGGCAATCTCATAGGAAAAGGCAAATAGATTGAAGAAGAGGCTAGGTTACATTTTCTGAAATTACATTTGTCTGGTAATCCTCTCCTTATGTTTGTTTGGAGGGGGTGATTTGAATCTGGCTGTCGCTGATTCCAGGGCCCACAATAGCCTGTCTAAATACATATTTGGTCCTTTCTACTATATCTAAATAGCAATCCAGATCACTCTTTATCCTTTTGCCTAACATTGTTTTTTATAACCACCTATTACTTCATATTACAATTCATCATTTAATTAGCGTATATTGTCTATCTCCAGAATGCAAATTCCTGAGGCCAAAGACTATTCATTTTGTTCATTTTGCTAATATAGTTTATAAATGTGGATAGTCAGGTTCTTTTCATTTTGTTTCTCTGTTCCAGATCTTTGATTTTATTGAACTTTTACAATGTTACTTAAAACATTGCTGTTTTCAGACAGGTTGCATTAGTGTATAATCAAATTCCATCCACAATATCAAAACACTATCACAAATTTAAAAAAGTAAAAATAGCATTTAATAATAACATAGTTCTAAAGCTCATTATTGGATTTGGAAAACTTTACCAGTGTAAGCTTTTGTATAAAAGTAAGGTTTGGTAAACTGATTCTTAGCATAAATATTTTTTCATAATATTCTTAATTATTTTTAATGTGTATATGTGAGATGTTTTATTTTGCATTTTTAAGGTTGTAACTACTTGCTGTAGTTATAAATGAATGATCAGCACATATCTTCTATGATAACCTTTCAACTTTATTAATATTAATATTTTTATGTAGTTTTATTATGGCTTTCTTCTGATTAGAATTTAATATAGAGAGGTTTTATTCATGTGAGTGTTAATGACATTTTGAATAAGCTATGGGAGAATTACAATGTAACACTGCTGGATACAGAATGATTCTTTGAGACACCAAGACTAATAATTTTTAACAATATCTAAAAACATTGTAGGAAAAGCTTGAACCATGCTGGCACCAGGGACAGACAGGCATGAAAGATTAATGTAATCTTGCATATAATGACACACATTCTTACACAAAAAATCCATCTGCAATGTCATGTCAGTCAGCAGAAATCTTCGATGGGTGGATACAGCTGGGCTGTCTCTTCTGGCAGAGCTGCCCTGGAAAATGCTAAATGTGGTTGTGATGCTTGGTGCCATCTGCAGTGTGCCCGTTTATCCTGTCTTCACTGGCATTTACAATACTGCATAGGGCATCAGTGACTGTGGAGACAGAGATATGGAGTGACAGATTCATTTCCTCGGAGGGTCTGAGCTCTGGTGGGCCAGTGTGCCACCCTCCTTCTTGGGTCTGGGTCTCCTATAATTGGTGTTGGCTTTACTTTGTATTTTCACATCCAACTCTTCCTCATTTTAGTCTAACAGTTCCAGCACACATTCTTCTGGTTTGTAAGTCTTACACTAACCTTTCGACTAATTTATTCATGTAAGGTTGCCAAACTGATTTAACATTGACTGTTTGATGCCAACTAATATGCTTTATTTTCAAAATACTGCTCCTCCTAAGCCTCTGATTTAAGGGACATGTGTCTTATTTAGAGAATACTAAACAGGCACCAGGATAAATTCTGTAACCACTATGCGTGGGATATTCCCAAATGACTTATGTAGTTGAAACAAATATATGACCTTCTTTTACATAAAGCTATAAAACACATCAGGCCACTAACACTTAGTCCTCTTGCCCATGATTAAAATATAAATATTCAAGAATAAATGTTGTTTTATGACTCGACCATATGTTTATTATATTATTTTGCCAGAACAAGTTAAAAAGTGTAGATCATTGTTTAAAACTTTCACTTTGTCTATGTGTGTGTGTTTTTTTTAATAGTAATGGAATATGAAGGGCACGCTCTGTCACTGCTTAAGGAATGTGAACTCCAGGGATTTGATGGGTAGGTTATATTATTAATATATATCATGTCATTTATGTATTAAATGCCTTCAGTAGTTTTAGCCATGTATTTGAAACTAACATTTAAAAATATTTGTAATGTATGTACTCTGGCTTTATCTTGTTCATAATAATTAATGATAATATGTCATCTCCCAGGATCTGGCATAGGAAAGCAAAGAGAGGAATCTAATTATAAATACTGGGAAATGACAGTGTACTACCCTATACTTATTAATGTGGGTCCATTTGCGTCTCTAATTATTGGCTTTTACCATGTATCTAGAAAAGTACTGATGGAAGATGTTATACTGGTCACATGGCATAACTATATGATGATCCTCTTTTACAAATTAGTTGATAGGTTTAATAGCTACCCATTGGTTAATTTGTGATAGATTGAAGGAAGATATTTTATAAATACAAGTAAATAAATACATTATTTTCAGAAAGAATAAGAGAGAATTTTAATTATCTCATAATATAGTGACTACAATATAGGTATGTTATTCACAGTGGGCATTGGAAACCATTGTTTGCAATACATTGAAGTGTATAGAGATTGTTCACTGGCATGTAAACATTAGAACCAAGGCAAGTGATATAAATTAAATTGAGATTTTTAAAAATTAGGTTTTTAAAATTTGCTAAAGTGTTGGATTGATGTGTAAGACTAAAACGTATTATATTCTTTTAGGGAAGATGTTTTTTACATGAGTAGATATTTGAGAATTTAAAAAGTTGACAAGTGTGTGAATTGTTTGTGTTACATGGGGACGGGCAGCGGGCAGGGGCAAAGACCCATAAGGTCAGGAAAGGGAGTTAGATCTGTCCTTTCACCAAAGTGAAAGGCATTAACTTTCCCAAAGAATGATTTGAATGTGTTGGGGAGGGAAGCGATGCAATCAAAATCAAGTATTGGCAGGGCTGTTTTTCAGAAATGCTTATTTATTTATTTTTTGGATGAGGAGAAAACAATAGCTGTTGAGAAAGAAAATGTGGTAAAACATGATTTTTCCAAAAGGAATCTAATTGAGGGAAGTAAATCTAGATAGCAATACTGTATAAGCATTGGAAATGAAAAATATGGGGTAAGAGATTACTTCAGAACTTTATACTTAGAGGTAAACAAAAACATTAATAGGCGTCATTTAGAACATTGTCTTATAAGTATACAATTTAAGAAAAGTCCTTGGGGGAATCATGCCCACCAACTACCTATTTGAATATGCTGCATAGTCCCTCACTAGGCCTCATGAGTACATGAAGGTAGCGGCATTGCAAATGAGTCCCTGCTTTCAAACTTGATTAGATCAAGAATGAGAATGAAGATATCACAGATATTAAACTTGGTCTTACACAGCAGCATTACAAAATGTTCTGCTGAATGCAGTATCTATCAATATGTTTTACTGGTATTTGTACTGGCTAAAGGGATGAAAATAACTTCAGAATGAAGAAAGACTATTGCTGAAGTGTAGTATTTAATCCTTATTTATTTTTCATGGCAAGTGTTGTTATTTTTCAGTGTAGAGCTAAAAGATATATAGATTTTTCAGTTATTAGTTATGTCTTACAAACCAAATAGTTTGGCCTAACCGTTATTTGAATTATGTAAGTGTTTCTAAACTCTAGGGCATGCTGATTTATTTCAGACTTACAATAATTTAAAATTTCTACTGAAAGTCATCTTCTGTGTTCTAAGATTCTTTAGATCAGGGGTCCCCAACTCCCAGGCTGCAGACCAATATCAGGCAGTGGCCTTTTAGGAACTGGGAGGCACAGCAGGAGGAGTGGCAGAAGAGGGATCGTTTCCACCTGAGCTCCGCCTCCTGTCAGGTCAGCAGGAGCATTGGATTCCCATAGGAGTGCGAGCCCTATTGTGAAATGGGCATGCAAGGGATATAACTGGGAATGCGAGGGATTTAGGTTGCATGCTTTTGATAAGAATCTAATGCTTGGTGATCTGAGGTGGAACAGTTTCATCCTGCAACCAAACCTCTCCCACCCCACCCCACCCCCCAGTCCATGGAAAAACTATCTTCCCACAAAAAAAGGTCCTTGGTGCCGAAAAGGTTGGAGACCACTTTAAATAGCTTATTTATTTTTGTGGGTTCAGTTTTCCCAGTAGAAGCTGATATGGTAGTTGGAGTAATTGTCTTAATAAAATGGCAATTGTAAGTCACTGTACTTAGAATTATATAGACAGATATATGAGGAGAATAATAGAAACAGTTTCTTCAGGTACTTCAAAGGAACAATTCTCTTGCAAGTAAAATTGTTTGAAAATAGAATATTCTACATTGGTGAGTTTTCTGTTCCTGAACCTGTTCTAAAGAGTGGCTAAAGGAAAATTTTGGGGGAAATTTATAGAAGAGGTACAGAGATGAGAGAAGGTTAACCCCAAAATGCTATGACATTTTGATGAGAGACAGATTCACATTCCTTTAAGAACTTTAGCCTGAAGTACCTCCGTCTCACACTAGTGGAGCTATTCATAGGGATTGATTAGGAAATCACCTAGCAGTTTGGTTTCTAGATACAGGCTGAGGAAGTTAAGAGCCAAAAAAGATTCAATGTATAGTATTTAGTAAAGCAAAATGATTTGGTAAGTAATGTTTCAGAAATGCTATTTGCTAAGATTTTGGAGTTTTATTTTTTTTAATGAGTTCCATATGTTTCTATGAGACATCTTGTGACATTTCTAAACCCAACAGAACAGTGTATCAGCACTTACCACAGCTGGTTCTCCACTGCAGTGTGTCCTAGGAAACACTCTCAGATCCACCGCTAAACCTTGTAAGAGCTTAAGATTCTATATCGCTCCCTATTTTACCAGGCAGGAGGAGGAAGTTTTATGAAGGAAAATAAAAGAATACCAGTTACATAGACTTGAAGCAGTAATACTTGCATTTGTAAGTGTGAGTATAGTTTTAAAAATCTGTAGATTTTATGCAATTGTAAATATATGAATTCCTTGCTATTATTTGTTTCACAATTTTTTTAAAAATTGTTGAGTTATTTTTTCTCTTGTTCATTTCACCATTAATTAGACCCATAATGATCTAGACATTATTTGGATTATATTGACTTTTTATCAGATTGAACATATCTGTATTACTTAGTAAGGTAAAAAACAAAAACAAAAAAAACCCCTTTTCCAGAAAGAAAGAAACTGTGAATCAAAACTACAATAATATATTGAACATTTCATAGATGATGGGTTCATAGATAAGTATAAAAACATTCATTAAAAAAATCTTTATCACTCTTTAAAAAAGGATATATTATCACCCAGTGGTTCTTTTCTAGACAGAATCATTCTGTTTGGAGTCCATGCAAGGAGTTTACTTATTTTAAAAACAAGATTTGTCACATGTAAAAACAAGATTTGTCACGTGCAAAGAATGAGTTACTCGAAGGTTTAGGTTTTAGAGTGGCACAAGTGTGATTAACCCACATAAATGATTGAATATTTTGCTTTTTGCCTTTCTTGTAGTATTTAGACTCTTGTGGTATTTTTGTAAGAAGCTGTTGATGAAAAAAGCCAAACTGTAAAGTATTTAAAGAGGTTTATTTTGAGTCAAATATGAGTGACCACGGCCTATGACAGCCCCAGGGGGTCCTGAGAACATGTGCCCACAGTAGTTGGGTTACAACTTGGTTTTATACATTTTAGGGATACAGAAGTTATAGCCAAAGACATAAATCAATAAATGTAGGGTGGTATACATTGATTTGGCCCAGAGAGGTGGACGTCATGGAGCTGATGGTGAAGGGCAGCTCACAGGTGAATTCAATGATTTTCTGATTGTCAGTTGGTTGATAAGCTTTGCTGAAAGATTAGAAGTCATCAGAAAGAAATTCTTGAGTTAAGATAAACAGGGTGGTGTAGGCTGGGCGCAATGGCTCACACCTGTAATCCTAGCGCTTTAGGAGGCCGAAGAGGGGCGATCACCTGAGGTCAGGAGTTTGAGATCAGTCTGGCCAACATGGCAAAACCCTGTTTCTACTAAAAATACGAAAATTAGCCGGGTGTGATGGCATGTGCCTGTAGTCTCAGCTACTCAGGAGGCTGAAGCAGGAGGATCACTTGAACCCAGGAGGCAGAGGTAGCAGTGAGCTGAGATTACACCATTGTTCTCCATCCTGGGCAACAGAGTGAGACTCCATGTCAAAATAAATAAAATAAGAAATTATAAAAATAAAGATAAACGGAATTGTAGAATCACAGGTTCTTATTATATAGATGAAGTCTCCAGATATCAGGCTTCAGAGATAATAGATGGTCAATATCTCTTATCAGACCTTAAAGGGTATCAAACTCTTAGTTAAATCTCTCATGGATCAGGAAAAGACCTGGAAAGGGAAGGAGATTCTCTATAGAATGCAAATTTCTCCTGCAAATTATGGCTTTGCAGGGCCATTTCAAAATATGTCAACAAAATACATTTTGGGGTAAAATGCTTTGATTTCCTCTAGGGCCTGCTATTTGTTATTTAATGCTATACCAGAGTCAGGTTGGAGTTGGGGATCTTATTGCTACAAAGTCTGTTTTGTCAGTCTTACGGTCTCCTTTTTTTTTTTTTGAGATGAAGTCTCACCCTGTCACCCAGGCTGGAGTGCAGTGGTGCAATCTCGGCTCAGTGCAACCTCTGTCTCCCAGGTTCAAGCGATTCTCCTGCCCTAGCCTCCTGAGTAGCTGGGATTACAAGCATGCACCACCATGCTCAACCAATTTTTTCTATCTTTAGTAGAGACGGGGTTTCACCGTGTTGGCCAGGATGATCTTGAAATCTGACCTGGTGGTCCGCCCTCCTCGGCCTCCCAAAGTGCTGGGCTTACATGCGTGAGCCATCACGTCTGGCCTATGATCTACATCTTAATGTCAGTGCTGGTCAGTTGCACCTAAACTCCAAAAGACAAGAGGGTATAAGGAGGCATATCTAACCTCCCTTCCTATTATGACCTGAACTAGTTTTTCAGATTGTCTTTGGGATCTTTGTGGCCAAGAGGGGAGGGTCCATTCAGTTAGTTAGAGGGCTTAGAATTTTATTTTTGTTTTACAAAACTTATTTCCTAGGTTGAGTCACTGTACGTGAACATGATCTTAATGACTGAATAGTTGTTAACATAAATAAATATATTTTTTTCTAACTTAATTTCACATTGGTTCTACTGGTAAACTGTTTTTCAAAATAACAAAATTCTCATAAGGCTATTTTTATTAGGTTTCATATATACAAAAGGTATCTAATATATTGAATAATATTTCAGTTTCTAAGGCCAAATTGTCTTATTTCAAATCCCTGTTCTCTTACTTACTAGTGGTACAATCTTGAAAAAGTTTACTTAATCTTTCCATGTCTTAGTTTCCTAATCTGTAAATTGAGGGCAATAGTACCTATTGCTTAGTTATTTTTCCACTTAAATGAATTAATACATGGAGAATGCTAAGGAAAATGTCTGATATATATTATAGTAATTATTCACTAAATATTTCTTTATTGTTATAATTGTCATTTGTATTAGTTTCAAAAGATTTAACATAGAATGTATTAGGGCAAAATTTCAGATGTTTCAGAACATGCTCATAGGGAGGCCACCTCTAATAACTCTAGTAATATGTTAACATATGCTTGATGCTATAACTGTATGCAGGATTCTAGGAGTAAGTGTTCACATCCTATGTATATAAGGATCGAGTTCTTTGGTGCTAAATTAGGTTTTTTGGGGTATGACTTCACATAGTCTTTGTGGTCACACCCATATGTCAACATTTAGACAGCCAGGGATCAAGTGTTACATTTAAGTTCATAGATTAGAAATCTCATAGAGATTTTCAAAATCAGGTAAATTTCAAATAAAAGCTTGGTTTTTCATTTATAAAGATGAGGCTGTTGCCTATTTTGCAGACTTCTGAGGATATAATAGAAATTAGTAAACATATTAGCTGATACATAGTTTGTCCTTAGTAAATATCCTTTTTCTCTGACTAGGTGGTCGCATTGCAAACCTCTGGAATCAGTTTAGACGTAAGAATAAAACAGACCTAATCAAAAATGACCTGGATCATATCTTGAGTCTTCTAACCAGAGTGGACTTGGATTGCCCAGGCTATGTGGAGCTAGTGGGATGCGGAAGATGGGGACTAGAGGGAATAGATGGCTGAGAAGAAGATGGTGGGAACAGACTGAAAAGACACTTTCAGCCTCCTGTTGCCACCCTCCAGAGCTTCCTAAACTTAGAGAACCAATAACTACTGCTGACTGTGGCCCATAGGCAGTTTCATCTGAAATACAATGTTTTTAAATGTATTGAATGCTAGGTGCTAGTATTTACAAATTAGGAGACGCAGCCTTAAATCAGAATCTCTGGCTTCTCTAGAAAAACCAGATCTGGTTCCATTAGGCCTCCTGCATGATGTGAGTGGGCCACAGTGAAGAAGAGGCTGCACCTTTGGATTGAGCCTACTCTTCCATTCCTGCTGGGCCCTTGTAGTGCTTGAGTTGTGACATGTGCTTTCACTGAGGCAAAAATCCACTTTCCATTGTGTAAATTGGCGACATTTTGATACATAAAAGTATTTTGCATCCTTTGAACACAAATGATTATGAAACGAATTTCTAGTATCTTATGTGTTACTTTCATGGATTCCACTCCCATAGTCTACTTAACATAAAGATTTAAAAAATATACTAGTAGTACTATCTAGGACCAAAGACTAATAATATTAAATCTAGAAGTACTATATAGCACTAATATCAAGGAGATGAAATTCAGGTCAGGCTTGTAATTACTACATCCATATACTAATGACAATTAGCATTTTCTTAAAGCTTCATATTCTACATGATTTTTATTGCTATCTGTCTTTTCAGAGCTTTATTGAGAATTAGCAGGATTTTATGACTTTAGCTGGTGTTAGTTAAATGAATTGCAGATGACAGTATTATTAACAAAAAATGAGAATGATATGCTTTTGGATGTTAACAGAGCAAAACGCTGGTCAGATGTGAGTTAACATGTTCATATGTTTTCATACCTCTTAACACACTTAAAGCTCTTTTGTCTATGGGGAATTATCCAGCTATTATATTTGTGAAGTAAACTTAACTGTGTAGCATTTGTGTCTTACCCATTGACACATATTAACATGTTTGAAGGTACATGTGAGCAGTCATGCACATAGACTACAAATTAGTAAACTATTTTGAAGTCTAGATTTCATGAATTATTACCAATCATATTGAAGTGTTGCCTTCTTTGCTTAATTTATATTTTTCTAGTGTTGTCTGTGTTGGTGGAGATGGATCTGCTAGCGAAGTAGCCCATGCTTTGCTTCTGAGAGCCCAGGAGAATGCTGGGATGGAAACAGACCGAATCCTGATTCCTGTCAGAGCACAGCTTCCACTTGGCTTAATACCAGCAGGCAAGGGAGTGGCTACAGATTCATTAAACTGACCCTTCTCCCTCTTTTCCTTTCTTATTTGCTAACCTAGACAGCACAACACAGAATTAATGAACGGACTTTGAAAGATCCAGACTTCTGGCGTCCCCACTAGCAAATGTGAGACTTTTTACAAGTCATTTAATCTCTTTGAGCCTTATTTTTCTACTCTATAGAATAGGGATCACAGATATATTACTCACTTTATTACAAGGTTATTGCAGTACTAACCTTTGGATTAAAAAGGGGCTTAATATAGATAAACCATCAGTATATGGAATGGTTATTATTCTCCCTTCCCATAAAAAGATCTAATGATTACATAGGACGAAGCAGGAAGTTTCAAAACAGGGCCCCTCCAGTCTAGCTTCTTATAATTCCATATGAGGTGAATATGGTAACTTGCATAACTGAAGTATAACCAGATAACCTTGAGAATGCCAAAATTACTTGTGACTGGAAGGAGGATAAGGTTTGGAAGGGTGAGATTCTTAATGGCAAGGCTTTTTAATCTTTCTACTCACTGCCATTTTTCAGTGTCTAGAATAGACTATGCCACAGTGATGCTCAGTGAAGTCTATTAAGTGAATGCATGTAAAGAAGACTTTATATAGTAAATGATACTTGGATTAGACCTTAAAATGGGTTGGAGCTGGCCTGAAAAGGTAAGAATGAGTTATTTTCTTGGCTGCAGAAGTAATAAAGCAAAGGCAAAACCCAGGAGTGTTTGAGGAATAGTGAAAAGGCCATTCAATGGAAGATAATGGTATCAAAATAGGCCCAACCATGGAGGCTCCTGCATGCCACAGTAAGGGCTCTGAATTGTATTTCATCAGCAGTAGGGAATAATGGGATGTTTCAGAGCAAGGGGGCAACCTGATTGGAGCTTGTTCAAGGATTCATTTTGCCTCACTGTGTGGAATGATTAGAGGATGGGGGCAGGAGAAAGTAGAGGTCAGAGACAGGGAGAACCGTTAGAGCAACACTGTGATCCAGAAAAGACGAAAACATCATTCAAAAACTGATTGTATTACACAGTCACTCATTCCAAATAATTTAAATAAATGATAGTGAAGGAAATTATTCATTTTAAAAAGTCATACATTATCACTAAAAAAAAGCAGAATATTTTCCACTCTGATTATAGAAAATATTGCACATGGTTGAAAAATTCGTATTTTGATAACTTTATTCATTTAGTGTGGATTTTAGTATACTTAGTATTGTTGATAAGTTGACAGAGCATAATATATTCAAATGTCCTTTTAGAGTGTAAAGTCTTTCAGAAAAGTCAGAATTTAAAAGAAGAGAGAGATTCAGAGATAATCTGATAATTCTAGAGTATATAGGAAAACCTAAAATGGTTTCTAAGTAGAAGACAACAAGAAAATTTTGACTCAGAGAGAAAAATGATGCATTTTGGGCCATCATTTCATGACATTTTATTTCTTGACCTTTTTATTTTACTTTAGTAGTTCTGACTATAATGGTGGAAACTTTCCACCATTTCCCTCCATGCAAAGTGGATGTGCTTAGGACACTTCATTAGTACTTAAATTCCTGAGGTCATTCATTGACTGCCATACATCAGAAATAGAAAGATGGGTGTCCCTACAGGTATGCATTTGACATAAATTTGGTGGTTGGCTATAAAAACTGGTGGTTATTCTTATGTTTTTAGTATGTAATTCAGATTTTATAAAGGAATAGCATTGAGTTTTATCACTATTATAATTTTTAGGAGTATTTCTGATTTGGGGAGCATTTTATGTATTCTTTGGATATTTGTAGTAATGCCATTTTAACATGTCTTGTTTAGAAGACACAGTATGCTGCCAAAACTCTGGTCATTGTATAGGAGTTCTAGCATTCTAATTCTGTCTAATAGGAGGGGAAAGTCATGTATGGGATATGTTTAATATGAGGACTCTATGCCTAGTCAGGGCTTTTGATAGAGAATGGGAACAAGAACAAGGCAGGAAATTTTCAAGCTGAACATGAGGAGACAGTGTGCCTTTGAAGCCATTTGCCTCCTGGAGAGAGACACCCAGAGGGAGAGTGTTTAGTAAATTAATCCACTGAGCCAACAGACTAAGCCACTGAATTATGGTCAGACTCAAATGGATCAGATGTGGGGAAGCCTGTATTTGAACTGCTGGCCATTAGGAATGGTGTTTGTTGCTATGGGAACTGGTACTAAGGAACTATACTGAGAGAATCTGATTAAAGGGGGAGGGGGAATGGAGAAAAAAGCCTGAGAGGACATAAAAATAAAAAAGCAATCCAGTTGTTGTAAAACAAGGCTCAATCCACATACTGATGGCTGTGAACCATATATTCCTATAGAGTTTGCATAAATAAATTCATGCTTTCCAATTAATTTGAGGAGAATAAAATATTGCCGAGGGACTGTTAATTTCTATGATATTTCAGGCAAAGAACCAAAGTGTAGGTGCTGTTTTCATGAGAATTTTAGATATGCTTGACTAGGAAGTCATTACATCACATTTATCTGTTTGGATGTGGGAGACATTAACAGCCTTATGAATATTCATGGTGTCTGGTTAATTAAGTTAATTGTTCTGCAGAAGTGCTTGCACTTCCAAGGACAATTTTTTTTTTTTTTTTTTTTTTTGCCTCCGTAGTTTCTCTCTGGTATTTCATCAGTAATTCTTTACATGAACTGCTACTTCTGTCCTTACTTTTTGTATTTGGAACATTTTAGCAGCTCTCGGGGGGAGTGGTGGGCAAAGTTTCTGGTAGTGTTAAGAAAAATAACTTTCAGGCTAATTAAAATGTTTACCTTGAGGTAGAACATTTATAGCTTTTGTGAGAACATTAAACTTACACCATTGTTATTTATGTGAGCAGCATGTTCTTTTGGCATGTAGACATCTTTTCAAATAGAGTACAGTTTCCTGAAACAAAATGTAATCCATCTTTCAGATTATCCCAACAAAATATGTAACAAGCTATCATTTTGCAATCTTACATATACTTTCTCATAAACTTTCCTTTTTTCTTCAGAATGTCAAAAACCACATTTAAAGACTGAGGTTCAGATTAATGAGTAGTCAATGACTAAAATAATTTTCTGACTTCTAGTCATGTCCGTTATCACTGCCAGCTTCTACAGAATTTAGAGGAAAGTTGCAAAACCTGAGAAGACATGAACAATTTTTAAAGCCATCTCTAGCATTCTAAAGAAAATTTGTACTTGGGCATACTCAGCATACTTCAAACTCACAGGGAATAAATGGTCTATATTTTCTTAAGTCATGATATGTGTCATTCTCTATTGCACATGACATTACATTATGTTTTTTAATAGCCTTTCTAGAGGAATGCTTTTATGGTCTACTCCTAATTAACCATGGTAATGGAGGAAATGTGTTTCATGGAGTACTATGATCCATCGATAATCCTAAATATCTCACTCTAATTATATGGCCTCCTCCAAAACCTTTACCACAAATCTGATTGGGAAGCACAATGGATTGACTTGTTTCCTCCTTTTCTCTCAATCCATTCCAGATTTATTAGCAATTAGATGGTCAAAGGGCAGGCTGTAGAGGGCCACAAGATCATTGGAAAGGCCTGGATAAAGATCCACTGAGTAACAGGTTTCTACACTACTTGTTTTCAAAACTTAGGGTCCATAGAGTCACCTTGTGAACTTGCTAAAACAGATATCTAGGTCCTCCCTCCTCCAAACACATTCTGATTCCATGAGTTGCAGGTAGAACCCAGGAATGTACGTTTTTAACAAGCTCCCAGGTAATGATGCTGCTTGGACCATGCATTCCAGAGAAGTTTCTCACCAAGTCACTGTGCATACAAACCACCTGGGGATCTAATAAATTGCAGACTCTGATTCAGTGTGTCTGGAATGGGGCCTGAGAGGCAACATTTTAAAAATATTTGTTGACTTTCATTCATACTTCTATTACTGTTTTAATACCCATTATCCTTATTTTTAAATGGACAAAAATTATATATATTTATTATGTACAATGTGATGTTTTGAAACATGTATACATTGTGAAATGGCTAAATAAAGATAAACATGCATAAAATTGATATAATGATCACATACTGATTTTACATTGAGAACACTTAAAATCTCTCTTAGAAATTTCCAAGTATATAATGCATTGTTACTTAACTATTGTTTTAGCCTGTTCTCACGCTGCTATAAGGAGATACCCAAGACTGGGTAATTTGTAAACGAAAGAGGTTTAATTGACTCACAGTTCAGCATGACTGGGGAGGCCGCAGGAAACTTACAACCATGGTGGAAGGCAAAGGAAGAAGCAAGGCACATTCTTCACAAGGTGGCAGAAAGGAGAAATGCTGAGTGAAGTGGGGAAGAGTCCCTTATAAAACCATCAGATCTCATGAAAACTCACTATTACAAGAACAGCATGGGGGAAACCGCCCCAATGATTCAGTTACTCCTACCTGGTCTCTCCCTTGACATGTGGGGATTATGGGGATTAAAATTCAAGATGAGATTTGGGTAGGGACACAAAGCCTAATCGTATCAACTATAGTCACCAAGTTGTATAACAGATTTCTTGAATTTATTCCTTTTAACTGAAAGTTTATATCCTTGACCAGTATCTCCCCAATCCTTCCCATCCATTAGCCCCAGTAACCACCATTTCACTGTTTGCTTTTATGAGTTTAAGTTTTTCAGATTCTACATAAAAGTAAGATCATGTGGTATTTGTCTTTCTGTGTTTGTCTCATTTCATAATGCCCTCTAGGTTCATCTGTGTGTTGTAAATGACAGGACCTCTTTAATGCCAAATAGTATTCCATTGTGTATATAAACAAGCTGATTGTCCCTAATCTGAAGGCCTAAAATCCAAAATGCTACAACATTAGAAATTTTTGAGTGTCAGTATGATGCCACAACTGGAAAATTCCACACCTCATGTGATGGGTAGCAGTCAAAGTACAGTCAAACCTTTGTTTCATATAGAAAAATATTTTAAATATTATGTAAAATTATCTTCAAGCTATGTGTATAAGATGTATAAAACTTTTATGTTTAGACTTGGGTTCCACCCCCCAGATATCTCATTACGCCAACAGTGTAAAAGTCTTCCTATTTCTCCACAGCCTTGCCAGCATCTATTGTTTCCTGACATTTTAATAATCGCCATTCTGACTGGTATGAGATGGTCATTGTGGTTTTGATTTGCATTTCTCTGATGATCAGTGATATTTAGCTTTTTTAAAAATACATATATATATGTTTATTGGCCACATAAATGTCTTCTTTTGAAAAGTGTTCATATCCTTTGCCCACTTTTTGATGGAATTGTTTTTTTCTTGTAAATATGTTTAAGTTCCTTATAGATTCTGGATATTAGACCTTTGTCAGATGGGTACATTGCACAATTTTTCTCCCATTCTGTAGGCTATTCACTCTGATGATAGTTTCTTTTGCTGTGCAGAGATAGTTTTCTTGATTTCTTTTTCAGATAGTTGTAAGTGTACAGAAATGCTACTGATTTTTGTATGTTGATTTTGTGTCCTGCAACTTAACTGAGTTTGTTTATTAGCTCTGACCATTCATGGAGCCTTTAGGGTTTCCTAAATAAATGAGATCGTGCCTACAAACAAAGGCAATTTAGCTTCCGTCTTTATGATTTGGAAGCCTTTTATTTCTTTCTCTTGCCTAATTGCTCTGGCTAGAACTTCTAGTACTATTTTAATGAGAGTGGTGAGAATGGGCATTATTGTCTTCTTGAGGTACAAGACATTGTTTCTCAACTCCTGCAAGTCATTTTAATAAGCACTCAAGTATTGTCATTCCTGCTTGACAGTAGGCCATATTTTGAGTAACAAGGGTCACAGCATAACTTGCCTTTTGGTGAATCAGTTGGAACCAGTTTGCCAGTTCATTACAATACACTTTTCTTTGCATTGGTATTACTAAAAGTAATTGTGCTTATTTATTATTAATAATTAAATATGTTTATTCTTAGATAGTTACCTAAAAAATTTATGATTTTAATGACTTCTTGGTTGATAATGGCTAAGCTGCCTCAGCTTCTCCAATTTAGTAACCCAAGTACATATCAGTTCAAAGTAACACAAATGGAAGCAATTATGTATGATCACATAGAAATGCTTCTGATTAGCAAAATCCAGAGGACTGGTCTTTGCCTTGATAACCGGAACACACCACATCCATGCTTTCACAGCTCTTGGCTATTACTGGACTTGTTATATCCTTTAATTCAAGAAAAATTGTAGCTTCATTTATTCTGTTCTTAATAATTTTAAATTCTCTTTAGCCTCCTGGGAATGGGAGGGGCTGCCTGGTATTGTCCCCTGTATCTCAGATTTCAGTCACACATAAACATTAAAGGGGCCTGACTTGGGGAGTGCTTTGCCTCTGTGGACTGGTGGGGAAAATCCAGGTGTGTCTTAAATTCTAATAATCACGAAAATCAGAAATCATAATGTTTCAAATACAAATCTTCATACATGGAAAATACAATGGAATTAAACATTTTCTTCAGTGTAGGAGACATTTGTGAGATAACAGGGGATTCTCATTTGGCTAAGAGCTTACCTCTAAGACTCATTAAATGTATTTAGACCATATTTTTTGTAGCTTGTAGTTATTTTATTTTTCTGAGTTATTATTTGGATTATTTTCTCTTTTATTTATGTATGCATTTGTCTCTGCTCCCCAGAGGCATCCTTTTGCTGTTGATCCTTATTTTGGCATTGAAGCTAAAAACCCATTCATTAAGGTTGGATGGAGTGGGCTTTGATATAGCTAGCATTTGGGAGGTAGAAAATAGACATTCGTGATCAAAAAAGCTGTAAGCGCTTACTATAAACTATTTTTATATTCCTAAGTAATTTAAATATTCAAATAATTGTGTGGACATTTGATGTGCATCTATAGTATGAATAAGAACTTCTAATATTCACATTAACTTTTCTGATTTTATAAATTCTCATTTTTCATCTGAACATTGCAGAATGACATCTATATAAAGTAAGAGCAAATGTTAATTGAACACATTCTACCCTGATAGTGCATGTTTTAAAATTGCTTTGGCAGGATCTACCAATATACTGGCACATTCTCTTCATGGAGTTCCTCATGTGATAACTGCAACGTTGCACATTATAATGGGTAAGAATTCTTCCAAAGCAGTTCACATTTTATAAGGAAATTTTGATTTATATAAGGAAGGCTATCTTATTTCCATCAGACTTTAAGGAAAGGCAGGTTCTTTGTCTCTCAAAGTAGAGAAATGTTTGACTAAAAGATAAAAAAGTAGTGCTTCACTATGTGGACTGCCTGTCTTTTCAAAATACTTGCTTTGTAAAGAGCAGTAAACTAAGTTTTACTATAATCTCTATAGAAAAAGAATGTAGTGTGCTCAAAATAATTTTATAACCAGATGAAGAAAATTAATGCATACTCCTTAAGTATATCCAACACTGTTGTAGGACTCTACCAAGACTCTAGGACTAGGATTATGTTATTAATGAAAAACATACCAGAAAAAAAATTTCAGCCAGTGTATATAGATATTTTATTATCCCAATTAGTAGAAAGCATATAAGCTCAGGTGTATGTAATACCAAACTACTGCTAAATCTAAGTTTACCTTGCCCATCTACTTTTCTTTGACCATGTTTCATAGAAATAGCAATAAGCTGAAAAACTTAGTACTCTGTGTTTCTTCACTAGCACCTGAACAAGTTAAAAAGGGTAATTGTTGTAGTTATAGATAAAGGGAACTGAAGAGAAAGTAAGGATGTTCATGGTCTACTGTACCTTGAGATATTCTCCTATAAGCCAATAAATATGCTCTCTTATATTTGCTGTTTTGATACAAGTCCTATACTCACTGACTAATATTTAATATAATATTCAAGGGCATGTACAGCTGGTCGATGTCTGCACCTTCAGCACCGCTGGCAAGCTTCTTCGCTTTGGATTCTCAGCCATGTTTGGCTTTGGTGGAAGAACTTTGGCTCTGGCAGAAAAATATCGATGGATGTCCCCTAACCAACGGAGAGATTTTGCTGTTGTTAAGGCACTGGCAAAACTTAAGTAAGTCTTTTTCTTAAACCAATAATTTTGTATCCCAGGTTCAATGACTGTTAATAACAAATCTCATTATATTTTAGGGCAGAAGACTGTGAAATATCATTTTTACCATTTAACAGCTCTGATGATGTGCAAGAAAGGTAGGTAAAACTCAATGTAATACAGATAACCTATATCTTTCTTTAAAGCATAAAACATTCTGACAAACAATTGATCAGACTTAGGATCTTTGGTTATTTTTCTAACACAGTAGTAAAGAATATAGAATCACAGACTCTTACAGGTCCTAGTAAGCAAACAACCACTTGCTCAGCCTTTTTCTCTTCTTCCTTCTTTCTTTCCTCCCTTCCTTCCCGCTCTGTCCCTCCCTCCCTCCCTCCCTCCCTCCCTTCTCTTTTTCCCTTCCTTTCCCTTTTCTTTCCCTTTTCTTTCATTTTTTTTTCCTTTTTCATTTCCTTCTTTTCCTTTTTCCCTTTCTTTCCTTTTCCCTTTTCTTTTGCTATTTATTGAGTGCCTATTATATGCCAGGCACTTTGAATACAACAATGCATCAAAAAATGAACAAAATACATAGTTTTGTCCCTTATGATAATTTTGGTCTAGTGTGTAATATAAATATTAAAGCCATACTAAAGAAGGGTTATAGTCTTTAAAGAAATAGTAAATTATTGTTCCTTATAATACTAGTTTATCTTTAAATGAATCAACATATTATGTTGGCAGCAACAAAATTGTACACGTTTTTACTTACTATCTAATCAAAGAAAGTAACATATGTAATGATGAGTTCACTAATTTTCTCATATTTAATCGATTTGTGTGTGTGTGTGTGTGTGTGTGCGTGCGTGCATTACCTGTTTTATATCTTTGTTTTTTCTTTCTTTTAGGAGGGCACAGGGATCTCCCAAATCTGGTGAGTACAAAAGTATCTCCTTGAGAACTGTGCCAGGTTCTGTTGACATTTTGCTCTAGTGAGGGAAAATAACCAATCACTCTCATTACCTTTAGACTGTAATGATCAATGGCAAATGATCCAGGGTCAGTTCTTGAATGTCAGCATTATGGCAATTCCTTGCCTGTGTTCAGTGGCACCTAGAGGCTTGGCACCTAATACCAGGTTAGTAAACATTTTTATTGAATTGTTGATACATTTCTTATAGACCATTTTTTTTCCAGGATATCCAATTAACTGTTGGTTAGCTAGAAACTTAACTGGTAGTTTATCTTTGTATATTAGAGAGTCTAAGGGATTTGTCATCACAGTAGGTTGAGAACAATTGTTGAACTAGAATAATTATCAGATAATCATTGACTATGTAAGGTCACTGAGGCTAAAATATTTCCTAAGTTTCATTGATATAATTTTATGCCTACTTTGCTTGATTTATTCATTTAGTTGTGGAGAACATTATATTAAATGCTGATATTTCTTGTGAATGTCTTTGCTTTCCAACTTTAATGCAAACATAAACATCCTTAGCATGAAAAATCACATATATGTATATTTGATACTGTATTAGTCTGTTTTCATGCTGCTGATAAAGACATACCCGAGACTAGGTAATTTACAAAAGAAAGAGGTTTGATGGGCTTACAGTTCCACGTTGCTGGGGAGGCCCCACAATCATGGTGGAAGATGAAAGGCACATCTCACATGGCAGCAGACAAGAGAGCTTGTGCAGGGAAATTCCTATTTTTAAAACCATCAGATCTCATGAGACTTATTCATTACCATGAGAACAGCACAGGAAAGACCCACCCCTTGATTCAATTATCTCCCACCACGTCCCTCCCACAACACATGGGAATTATGGGAGCTACAAGATGAGATTTGGGTGGGAACACAGAGCCAAACCATATCAGATACCTTTAGTCAAAAGAAACATTTCAGTTCTATTTAATGTGAATAGTAGTGCATATCAATCTCCTGCCCACATTTTCAATGGAATGAAATGTGAGACGTCTTATATATACCTTTCTATCCATAGGATATAGACATTCCTTCTCTTGCACATTCTTCTTAAGCAGCTGTCCATTATGGGGCTGAAAATATTTCTTTCCTAAATGCAATCCTATAGAGCGTAGGAGAAAGGATCATGTGTGTTGTGAAATATAGCCAATAAACAGGGAAATATTCAAAGTTAGAGAAGAAAACAGAAAAACTGCAAACTTGGATATTGAAAACCCAGATGGCAAGGTCCTCATTAATTACATCTAGTGCTAAAACTTGAAAGGAGTATTTTGAACCTTGTGTGATTTAGAAATTGACCCTGGTGGTTTCCCCCACACCCTCAGAAATCCTAGATAGCTGTGTGCTTTTGTAATGTAGTTTCCCTGACTAAACTTGAAGACATGGCTAGCTGACCAAGGAGCTATGTTTGGCAGGACTTGAGACAATGTTTATCTAACCCTGCTTGTTCAAGGACCTTCTTGGGAGGGTAGACCTCTTCTGGGAGCAATTGATTCATAGCTCCTTCAAAGCCACTCCGTAAATGTTCAGCTTGACTAGAATTCCACTGCTGACTTTCCAGGCTTAATCAGTATTGATGAATTTTTCAGAGAAGGATGACTAATTAGAGATTTCTTCTGTGGTTTATAATCACAACATGCCATCTTTGCAAAGGCCTTTCGATCAAAACTCATTTGACCAGAGATTTTTTCAGAGATGTAGCTTCTGATGATTCAGGATGATTGAACAGGAGATTTCACTTTCTGCTTTTTCCCCCACCATGATAAATAATAATTTATGTTAAAGTATCTCAGTGCAAATTGCCAATAGGAACTAATATTCTTGTATTCTAAGTATTCTAAGATTAAATATGTTCATAGATGTGAGACATTTAAAGCAGTGTCAGCCATGTATGTTGTGTTTCTATTTCAAGTAAAGATTGCAAAGCAGGCATAGGATAATGCTTTTAATGTTTACAAAATTATGCAATTAAAAAAAAAGATGCACAGTAACACTACCATGAATGTTTTGGTGCTGTTTATTTTTAATTGGGAAGCAGCAGCATGATGGAAAGAGTGCTGAGCACCTGGGGTATTGGTGCTGATGACCATTTTTTCTCCGTGTGCCTTTGAACAAATCACTTAAACTTGGAGTTGTCTTTTCCTTCTATGTGAAATGAGTGAATGATGAGATAATCTCTAAGGTCCCTTACAGCTCTGACTTGTGCTTCCATAAGATACTAAGAGCTCTTTTTTTTATTTTGTTGTTAGATTAACTTCATGTTTGCACTGAAATCAAGCTAGAAGTCATTTGTATGTATTTCTGCAAACTGCCTTCTATAGCTTGATGCATTTGCAAGTGGCTGTTTTGGCACTAAATCACACCTCTGAATTTTCAGTCTCATATATTGGATGGAACAGTTATGCAAGATTAAAATGTTCAGTCATTTAACTGAACATGTGTGGCATTTGTTCACTCCATTTCATCCACCCAAAGGCCACTTTGATTTATTTCATTTCCTATGTCACTTAGACCTTCTGTCCATAAATAAATATTTAAATCACACTTTAGATTTTAGAAAATGTTGAGCTATTTGTTACACCACTTGTGCATATTAACTATTCTATAATACATCTTTTAACAACATAGTTTCACATTTAGAATTTCTAATTACATTGTATTTTAAATTATGTCTGATATGTGAGTAGGAAGCTTGATGGTTTGTTTGTAAAATGCTTTAATGTAAGAGCTTATTGAGAAGGAAGCCAATGATTTAATAAAACTCATTTGAAAGCCTGCATCATTTAAAAAATAATAGCAAGATACGGTTTATGAATTTTAGGTAAATGTAACATGGTGATTTATCTGTCTTGTCCAATACTTTCAATAAACAGTATACTTGTTATAAGAAACAGTGTGTCATAATTTTTGGTATAATCTCTCAGTAAACTTCTTAATGTCTAATAGAAATATTTAATTTCAGATTAAATAATGGAAGTATGGCTCTTATAATTGCCCGAAACACTTCTCGGCCAGAATTTATAAAACACCTGAAAAGATATGCCAGTGTAAAAAATCAGGTATAGTAAATTTTTTGTTACTTATTTGTAAAGCTATTAATCATGTAGAAGAAGATGCTACAAGAGTTGACATCGAGTCCTGCCTCCTAAGAAGGTTTTATTTTCTTCTGAATATATTAAACTTTTTTTCCAATTTGTTTCATCCAAATTTTGAAAAGCATCCACCAGTATTAATATAGATTGGCCTTTTTTGAATGATGAATTAGTGGTTATGTATATATAACCACAAAGATAAAATAAGAAATGTAGTGTTATCTTGCAATGTGAAGTAAATTAAAGATAAAATTACATACTCAGGCTGTTCTTCAGAATGAAAAGAAGTGAAACTTGAGAGTGTAGCCTTCTTGATATTATGGCAGCAGACTTTCTAAAGTTATGATCTTTAGATCTTCCTGACATTTGTTTGCATATCTGCCTATGCTCATTGATTGAAATAGATCTGTAGATATGTATTTAAAAATATGAGACTTTTATATAAATATTCATTCAAAATGAGGATGTGTGAAGATATATATTTCCACTTAAGTGATTTGCTTTAAAAAGAAACAGTAACTGTTACAAACCATATTATTTTGGCAGATATTTTGACCTGATTATTAGGAAAATGATCCTAGAAATATGTGAATTTCTGAAATTGTGAGTCTTTCAAGTACATAGGTATGGTTGTAAAACCCTATAGTTTCACACTTTTTGTTTTTTTTGAGATAGAGCCTCACTGTGTTGCCCAGGCTGGAGTGCCATGGCGTGATCTTGGCTCACTGCAACCTCCAGCTCCCGGGTTCGAGTGATTCTCCTGCCTCAGCCTCCTGAGTAGCTGGGATTACAGGCTTATGCCACCACGCCCAGCTAATTTTTATATTTTTAGTAGAGACAGGGTTTCACCATGTTGGTCAGGTTGGTCTTGAAAGTCCTGACCTCGTGATCTGCCCACCTCAGCCTCCCAAAGTGCTGGGATTACAGGCGTGAGCCACCACGCCTGGCCCACACATTCTTGAAGTTATAAAATGGTGCTTGGATATAGTTGGGAGAGCACAGATGGGAGGAGGAGGAGGAGAGTAAACCCAGCCAATGACTGGCAGCTGAACCTTGCTTATGTACCATAGCCATTGCAAGTCTCTGCATTTTTGCCTCATTATATTTTCAAACTTTCTTAGGTCATCTTCATGAAGTTTGATCTTCTGTCTATAACATTATTTGATCCTCATGTATTGAACAACTAAGTGGGCTGCTTAGGAACGTAAATCATAAAAAAATTAGATACAGTCCCACTTCCTTATATGTCAAAGTAGATCAGCAGAGATAATGTAGGTCGTGAGCCTGCGTAACAACTTTATGTATGTGTTTGGGTGGAATATGGAGACTTACTGATTTTTCAAAGGAATGTATGCATTTTCACATTTTACTAAACTTCTAAACGTTAAAATCAATTTTTAAAAAACCCAAAGCACTATATATTCATTGCTGTTTTTAAGTCAGAAAATAGAAACAAGAAAATGATTTTAAGCACTCAAAATTCCATGTTCCTCAGGATAAGTATCATTACATTGGTAGAAGTTTTTCCAAATCCTTTTTTATTACATAAATGAGAAGTTAAGTGACTATTAACCTCATTCATATACCCCTATTTGAGAACTTAAATCGTCTTAACCTATTAATGTAACCCTGAGAAGTTCTGTACTTGTTTTGGGGAGGTGTATGTTGCACAAACTGTTTATGGAAGATCTCTTTTGAAATTGCCCATGGGGCAAGTCTCTTAGGCAAGTTTTGTAAACATTCTTTTTTTTTTTTTTAAATCAATATACCTTTCTTCTGATTTTAAAAGCAGTGGTTCCCTTACACATAAAGACAGACATACAGAAAATAATACAAATCTGTGTCGATAGGAAGATGCCTTCTAAAAGAGATAGTATGCAGGATTTACCATATTTTCTCATGTACTCTACCAGGCATATCTTGCTTTTGACACAAGAAACAGTTGCCAGTGTGTGATTCACTGGCCTTAACTCTGATTTATCAACTTTCAAAAATTAAAATCCATGCTATTTTTTTTTTTTTTTGCAAATAATTCTAAAATATTTTGTATAGTGTATATAGTAAGAATAATTAGATTGATTCCCAGGGTGACTGCTTTCAAGCAATGTTAATTTGATTTGTTAATTATCTACACAGGTGTGTGTATTTAGGCTCTTTCCTTCATGGTGACATTAAAAATGTGAATTTATATAAATTTTGTAAGATTATGAAAATCAGATCTATGTAAAAATCATATCTACTGCATAATTCGTAGCAGTGCTGGTATTCAGGAAGGAAAATGGGACAATTCAGTTTAAGGAGAGTAACATCTGCTTCTCTGAACCATGTTTACCAGGTTGAATAAGCGAGCGTTACTGTATAACACTGTAAAACAGATTGAAACCACCATGTGCAGAGTGGCTCCTGTTCCTTCCCCATCTCTATGTAAAATTAGATAGAGGGTGAACATTACCCTTCAAAGTCCTTGCAGCTCCATCCTATTGCTTTGCGCCCCTTCTCACTGTCCACACTTTTCTCTTTCATTGTGACCATTTTTGGTAGGGTGTTTAAAACCTTAAATGTGAGTGCTTCCCCCAGGATTTGTTTACAGCGCTCTCGTCTTCTTAGGATGCCCTCTCTTGGATGGCCTCATTGCCCCTCACTTTTGAACTATCTGAACATCATACACTCCCAAGGGTTCTGTCATCTCATCTTATCTGCAGAACCTCTGTCTTCTTGTATGCCACAGAGGTTCTGAAACTCACAGGCATCTGGAGGCCAACATGTCTACAGCTGACCTTATCTTTTCCCCTAAAGTTCCTTCTGTGTTGGTCTGTGCGGGTCAATGGCACCACTTTCTGCCCATCCAGGTTACCCTGGATTGTTCCTTCTTCCTCATTCCTCAGTACCAGTCCCCTAACTTGTTCTGTTCGTCTCCTCTTAAATGTTTCTAAAATTTCTCCCTCACCTTAATTCAAACTTTAATCCTTTCTTGCTTATAGTAGCCTCCTTTTGGCCTTCAGTTTCTCTTGTCTTGTCTTCCATACCTCCTGTTAGAGAAACTTTGTTCTAAGACACACATTTGATCTCTCTCCTGCTTAATTCTTCAGTGCCTTACTCTTGTTGTCAGAATAATATGGAATTTCCTCAGTCTGGAATACGCGGCCTTTGTATCCAGGTCCCTGCCTGTGTTGCAACCCTATCTCTTATTTACACCCTCCACCACATTCCCAGTGTTTTGGCATTTTATTCATTGTCTAAGGTTGCCATAAAAAATACCATAGAGAAGATGGCTTAAACAAACCAACGTATTTCTTTCATGGTTCTAGAAGCTAGAGCTGCAAGACAATGTCAGCAGGTTTGGTTTGTCCCGAGTCTTCCCTCTCTGGCTGGCACACGGCTGCTGTCTCACTGAACCCACAAGTGAGTGGTCTTTCCTCTGTTCATCCCCAATGCCTTTTCCTATGTCCAATTTCCTCCTCTTATAAGGACACCAATCGTATTGGATGAGGGCCTGAAGACATCATTTTAGCTTAATCACCTCTTTAAAGATCTTATCTCCAAATACAGTTACATTCTGAGGTATAGAGGGCGAGAATTTCAATACAGGAATGTGAAGTCCAATGGGCATGATTGAGCACCTAGGAATCACACTGAATTCTGTGTAGTTGCTTGACCATGGTTTGCCTCTAGTTTTGTAAATGCTTCCTCTCTCCAGACTTTCTTCTCCAGGCTAAATATTCTGTGTTCTTTAAGGCTCAATTCAAATGGGAAGCTTTCCCAACATCCATAGACTGTTTGCCTCCTCTTGTTTCCTGCATTGAACTCCACGCTTGCACCATCATGGCACTTTTGTGTATCACAATTGTAACTGCTCACTTCTCCTCCCCATGCCCCAAACATACCCTCACACAGGATACTAAGCTCTTGGCTCCCTAAAGTCCCACTTTAACAATGTCTGTGGCTTCACAGTTAAAGCATTTGAAGGATGGCTAGATCTTCATTTTGTGAGGTGTGCACATGATAACTGCTGATTTAAGATAATAGACTTACTGGTGGTGGCTGTCAATTCTTGGCATTCCTTGGCTTACAGCTGCATCACTCCAGTCTCTGACTCTGCCATCCTTGGCATTCTTCTCTCATAAAGACATCAAGCATATTGGATTAGGGCTCACCCTAATGACCTCATCTTAAGTTGATTCTACCTGCAAAGACCCTACTTCTAAACAGGTGACATTCACAGGCACCATGGGTTAGGACTTGAACATAGTTGGGATGGGGGAGGGAAATGTAATTTAGCCCATAACAGGCAGTTGTTGATAATTCATTTAACACACACTAACATGAATGATTATGTAGATAATTCTACAAGGATGAGGCATGTAGCCAAGGCTTTATACCCAAGGTGGGAGATCTAATGCAGTTATTGTCAAACAGTTTTGCTTGGGGCCCTCTAGTTCTGAACCTCAGTCACAGCAGCTGATGCCCTGATATCATGTACTGTTTAACTGTGTTTATAGTATAAACCAGAAAGTCAGCTGGACTTTGGTATCTACATATGTAAAATATGGGTGTTGGGGAAAATATTAGTTTTCTGTCAACTTTTAAAACTATGTGTTGCATTGAGGTTTATATGTGGAAAAGAGGAAAAACTATGTAGATGGTGTTTAATTAGGAATATATCTCATCATTTATCTGAAAACTGAAATGAGTAGTTTTGCATTCCTGCTAAAGTTACTTGGCTATATTTTCTTAATTATTTCAGAAAATACATAGTGCTTTTTCAGTAGAGTTTCCTTAGGCAAACAAGAAAAAAACGCAAGTAGAAGTTTACCTTGCACCATTCTATAATGGTAAGTAAACAGTGATCTTGCAGCTCATGTCCATTGTTAAAGTGGGAATGGGGCAAGCAAACACCTGTTAAAATCCATATTTAATTGGCTTCCTCTTTTAAAAGAAGACATACGTCCCATTTTATCTTCAGAGGTTTAGACCTGAGTTCTTCCAAATTACATTCCAAGTGTGAAACTTGCACTAGTTTGCTTTATGTCAGCTAAACTAATTGACAAGTTGATAAACTCAATGGATTATATGTCTTCTGTATCTACAGGCCAGCATTAAATATTATCTTTAATTGAAAAATCTACAGTATCATTATTGTATGCAACTTCTCACAGATATGTACTATTTGTCATAAAACAATATTTCTAGGTGCTAGATCTAAACCCAGAAGGCTTTGGATAAGAGATTCCTTCTTCCAAAAAAAAATTGGAGATCCCTGCTCATAGTCTCAAAGCTATTAAAATGTCAGCATACATGTTGATATTTACTTGTGAGAGAGGGCACAGTGAACTTTGTGTTAGTAGCTAGAGATAAACCAAGTATAATGATTATTTGTATTTATTTTTAGTTCAATTTTCCATTTGTTGAGACTTACACTGTTGAGGAAGTAAAAGTTCATCCAAGGAATAATACTGGTGTATATAATCCAGAGGAGGAAGAGGATGAAACTGCTTCAGAAAATTGTTTCCCTTGGAATGTAGATGGTGATTTAATGGAAGTTGCATCAGAGGTCCATATTAGGTAAGTCTTAATTATTTCACCGCTTTATATGTCAACCAGTAAACGTAAATCTAATGGTACAATGAAAGCTCTCTTCTCTGAATTATCAAAGCAGGCAGTCGGTTAGTTTTTAAAAAATCAGTAAATCAGGGAAGCATGAAGAGACATGCACAAATTTCAACAAATAAAAAGTAACCTTACATTTATTCACCAACTGTTTCGTAGAGCGTGGTTATGCATGTCTACATTGCCTTTCTAATTTATTGTTGTGCAGAAACTACAGATAATGTCTACAACTTCCATTTTGGATTTTTAAAAATGGATCAAGATCTTAAACCTTTTAGTGGAGCCATCTGACTAGTCAAGTGTTAGATTTTAATCTTTCCATCTTAGTTTCCTCTCACTCATAATTACTGTAACACGTTTTGTTCAGCAATTTGCTTTTATTAGGCCTTTACAAAGCATTCAACTTCCCTTCGGAACAATTTTACATAGCAACTGGTAGAAACAGGTTTAGGAACCTACAAACTCATCCTTGGTAGGCATTGTGACACTCAGTGGTTAGAAGCAGCATGCAGGGGTGCCCACTAGACATGGGTGTTCTAGAGGCATGACTATTTTAAAAAGGCAATGGAGAACATTAGACACTCAAGGAAGTCAGTTATTACTGTTGTTGATGATTTTTCAGACCTTCTGAGTTTTCTAGATTACAGCTGTGTTTTCTACATGACAGCTCTTGTGAATGCTATGTTATGAATTTGTATTTGGCATTGTGTACCATACTTATTAGGTGTATGTGTGAAAAATAACAAAATATGTTGATGAAATAACGAATTATACATGTGTTTTCTTTACAGATTGCATCCAAGACTTATCAGTCTTTATGGAGGAAGCATGGAAGAAATAAATGATTCCAAAGTAACAAGTAATTGTTTCTAAAAGAAATGTACAAACTAGAATTTTAATATAAAGAAATATGGCCATGCTTTAAACCTGTGGTCCCCACCCTTTTGGGGACCAGTTTCATGGAAGACAATTTTTCCATAGATGGGGAAATGGTTTCAGGATGAAACCGTTCCAACTCAGATCATCAGGCATTAGAGTCTCATAAGGAATATGGCACCCTAAACCCCTCACATTCCAGTTCACAATAGGGTTCGTACTTCTGTGAGAATCTAATGCTGCTGCTGATCTGAGAGGAGGAGAAACTCAGTAATGCTCCATTGCTTTAACTTTCCGCTGTGTGGCCAGTTGGGGATGCCTGTTTTTTAAACAGATATTCTAATATAAATTGCTATTTTTTGTTACTAACAATTAGTCTCTAGGGCTTTAAAAGTCAAGATGAAATACCAATTCAAATTCTGGTTTTTACAATGTGTTTGTTGGACACACAGAAAACTTTGCAACCATCATAATACATCAATATTTAACCTAAATAATTTGGATTCTTTTATTTTTCAGGATTATGTTAAATTTCCTATATTCTGGTATAAACATAATACAGATTTCATAAGTCTACCTTGATTTTACTGCTCCCTAATACAGAGCAGTTAAATTTCAAAATCACATAGTTTGCCAAAAAAGAATAACCCATCCCTGTCTTCTTAAAGTGGTAGGGTTTTAAAATTCATCGTACAGGTAACAAAGTTGATAACAAATATTATTTTTAACTGGGCAAAATCTAGCCCCATATGTAATTGTGTTCCTCTTGTATCTGAGAGGCCTGTGTTGGACAATCAATCATAGTACTCTGCTTTTACTGTGCTCAAATAACCTGAAATATATAGTTGTTTCTGAGTAGGAAAGAACCAAATTTAAATTTCCTAAGCGACCATCCTGGAGAAGACACTTCTAAATCGGGGCTTACATTTTTCATCTATGATCCTAGAGATCCTAGATAGTCTTCTGAAAGAACGACTAGACTTTTTATAACGATACAAAGTTTTTTAAAAATACATAGAAGTTTATTCCTGTGTATACACACTCTGGGTTCAGGAGGTTTTGTGCTTGTGTTTCACTACTCAAATGCCTTTACAAATCTCAGAACATTCCTCACCATCACTGCAGGCCTGTGAACAGATAACTTTCATCAATTAGGATGACTGGCTAGTGGCAGGGACTTCATATAAAGAAATCTTTTCCAGAATTGTTTTTCCAAATTGCCCTCTAATTTGATCACTTCCTGTAATGGATGTTCAAAATTCGGCCATAGCTCTCTTATGAAGACAGAATCGGGTAAAATTATATTCTGCAATTATCTATCATAAGCATAAAATAAATACTACAAAAATGATTGTATTTGCAAATAAAAAGGTATTTAAAGATATTAAAATCCAGAAAGTTATTTCATTTAAAATAGAACCTCACATAATATGAACAAACTATAAAAATATTTTAGCTGTCACTTAACATTTCATGAAAATTTTATATTCACTGTATACAAACTGAATCAGTATCTTTCAGCTAAATTTATGAATTTTGTTTCTTCATTTCCATGCAAAGGAACACTTACATTTGTAAAGAGTAACAAAGAATTGCATCCAAGCAAATATTTGTGTGATAGTCAATATTTTACATAGTACATGATACATATGAAGTAACATGATATATATGAAGTATAGGCCCCCTAGTCTTTGCACAGCTTTGGTTTTAAAGTTATTAGTGAGGTATGGTTTCCATATTTTTTTTTTTTTTTTTTTTTTTGAGACTGAGTCTCGCTCTGTCGCCCAGGCTGGAGTGCTGTGGCCGGATCTCAGCTCACTGCAAGCTCCGCCTCCCGGGTTCCCGCCATTCTCCTGCCTCAGCCTCCCGAGTAGCTGGGACTACAGGCGCCCGCCACCTCGCCCGGCTAGTTTTTTGTATTTTTTAGTAGAGACGGAGTGTCACCGTGTTAGCCAGGATGGTCTCGATCTCCTGACCTCGTGATCCGCCCGTCTCGGCCTCCCAAAGTGCTGGGATTACAGGCTTGAGCCACCGCGCCCGGCCTGGTTTCCATATTTTTAAAATCAGTGTATATGAGCTAAAGTGCAACACTCACACGATCTTTTGTTTCAGAATATAAATTAGAATATTTTATAACAAAAGATTTGAAGATGGTTCTTAACTATTTACTCCTGGGTATGCTTGATAAAGGAGTGTAAATATATACCTAAACACATGTATATATACAGAAAGATGGGGAAATCCATAGCTGTATAAAAATAATTATCCAGAAGTCATTTCATTAAGCTCAAACCAGTGTACATGTTCAGTCTGAAGTTTGCCCATTAGGCCTATAATATTCATAGTCTGCTAAAAAAACAAAACCCATAGGAAATGTATTATAAATAAAGGGCTTTAAAGTGATAATGGTCCACTTCCACTCATTAGAAAATTTGGGAATAGCTCTCTAAAAAATTATATTTTTAAAGAACATATTTTGAACAAGTCTCAAAGATGTATTTGAAATGAACCTCTGCCTACCCAGCAGGGTTCGTTTTACTGAGGCAAGCACATATGGTAAGTAGTATTTCAAGTCTAAGACTTCTCCAGTATAATTTAACTCAGTTATACTTTCATTTCAAGATATCTTCAAGGATTTACTTTTCTTGAATAAATTGAATGCTTTAGTGTTTCTCTACCCATTTAAAAGCTGAGAGATTATCTTCGGCTGTATTATTACCTTTGCAGTTCTTTCTCAAAGAGTAATCACTGCTGAGATTTTCCCTTTGCATGAAGACATAATATGTCACGAGATCATGAGTAAAAGAAGTCCGAACAAAATTCATTTTTTCTTGTAAACAGTGTCTTAAATTTCTTTACTACAACCTGAGTCTGTTTTCCATTCTCTCAATTTGAAAGAAGTCCTTAATCATCATTGCTTTTACTGTTGATGTAACTCCAACTGTCTCTTCTGTTTTCTTCTTGTAGGATAGATTTGTATTGTCTTTTAAAGAAGCCGGCCTGAAAATAGCATTACAAAATCACTAGTGTATAGTTATAAACACTCTTATCTACTATACTCATTTCTAATAACTAAGCAGTTAACACTAACATTTCTTAAACTGCATCCTTTGTAACATCAATCATAAAGGTTTAACAGAGGTAATCAGTAAAAATTAGTGGGGACATACTGGGTTAGAGAAACATTTTTGTTTTTAATGCAGAAATTCTCAGTGATACATACCACATTCTCTTCAAAATTGACATTCAGTATAATTTGCAATCTTTTCCAAATGATTTTTTAAAAGGAACATCTTTCAAAACAAATTAAGAAGGCATATTTTTCTAGAAGGACTTTGGTGTTAAGAGATGTGAGATCAGTACTGAGCAACATAAAAAGTTAACATTAAAATAGTGAAATATTTAAATCTAAATAACTTGGAAGTCAAATAGGCTTTGAGAAAATGTCATTTTGAGTAGTTTAATGTTGGTAATTGTTAGTAGGTTAATGTTGGTAATTGTTAAATGCTTACCTTCCACATAACATATGAGATCAACAGAAGTACAATAAGTCCAAGTAGCAAGCTACTTGAAATAATCACTATGGTGAAATAACGTTTGGGTCTTTGATGATGTAGTCCTTCCAGGAGAACCTATGTGAATTAAGAAAAGTAAAACCAAAAAAGAAAAAAAGAAACAGTTTAAAAAGTTGCTTATATTTCCTTTAAAGCCCTGCCATAATCCCCAATAGTATTTAGAAGTACCCACCCTGTTTTCTTGCTGGTTCTAATATAATTGCAGGAAACACTGGTAACTGTTTAGCAGAAACAGTGAGTGTAATGGGCTCTATCCATGACTTTTCCTCCAATCTATCCAATTCTCACTGCTGCCCGATTCACCTCTCTAAAAGAACTGCTGTGTTGTTCCCTCCTGCCAGTTGTGGAAAATGCCAACTCTCAACCAAGTATTGAGGACCCTCCATGAGCTGGTCACACTCTACTTTCCCAACTCAGTTACTCAAAAGGAAGTAATTATAGACACCCTTGAAATGTGTTTTCCTATAATTTTAATGCAGCAGTTAAGAAGGTAATCTTACATGTGCAACATTCTCATCCTTGTTTAGTTCAATAACTCTTGAATTTGGCTCTGGAAAACTTGTTGCTCTTATTTCAAATTTGAGTGCTGAAGTCTCATCCTGTGTAATAAAAGAAAGATCACCGTAGCCTGGTTTATTTCCTGAAGACATATTAATAGAAATAATTTGTCAGGATCTTTACCTTCTATCTAGAGGTTTTCACAATTTACCTTCCCCAATTTACTTCACCACTTAAAATTAACTGCAGTGCTTCCTTTGGTTCCCAAAGTGTGGTCTTGGTATTAATGTATATAGTATCATATTATTGAAATCCTTTGATTAAATATAGCTACCTTGCAAATAACTTGATTTAAATATTAGACTACAGCAAGAGGTAAGTTACCATTTACCAATGTTCTCCACCCTGCCACCGCATATTGCATCTATCTTATTTGGGCTTTTTATTTTTTTCTAAATTATAGAATTCAAATATAAAATCAGTGGATGAACTCAGAACTTTATTATCTACAGCAAGGATTCTATAATGCAGAATCCATGAAGCCTGGGGACGTGTAGATGGGCTTTACGAGTTCTAAGAATCTTTAGGAGATGTTTTCATGTGGGCATTTGCTGAGGGAGATGAGAATATATTTAGTCAGATTCTTAAAGAGGGATATGACCTTTAAAACTACTGTGTAAATGTTATTTAACATTTTAGAGCCAAAAATGACAAGCTTCATACAGATCTAGAGCAGTGGTTCTCAGCAGGGAGGTGATGAAATCCTAAGGGACAGTCAGGAATGTCTGAAGAAATTGTAAAGTGTCAGAACGTGGGAGGTGGTACTACCAGCAGTGAGTGTGTAGAGGCTGAGGATGCTACTAAATATCCTACAGTGCACAGGACAGCCCCCAAAAACATCTGGTTCAAAATGCCAATTATGGCTGCTGATGGGAAACCTAGACCTAGAGGAAAAGAGAAGGCAAACTGCAAAAAACTGCAAAAGGTTAAATGACTTGCTGATGGTCCAATGACTTTGCTTTTTGCACAGTTGAAACTAAAATGGATATTTCTTCTTTGCCTGTCTACTGTATCTTAAGCACTGTTTGACAATTTCAAAAATTCCACTTGAACAAAACAGCTGCCATTTCCTTTGGCTTCCTATGTTCCATGAACTAAGTGCTTATAAAAATCATCTCATTTATCCATATTGAACAGATGAGAAAGCTGAAAAACAGAACTCCACATAAAACTAGTTTCATCTCAAACTACTCCTCATAAATATACATGTTCCTTTGTAGGAAGAAGTCCAAAATATATTTAAGTATGTTTTTGTTGATGTTTTTGATTTTATGAAAGCCTTAGTTTTTTTTCTTAGCTATATTTTAAAAATAAAAGGCCTTCAATAAAATTCATCATCCCTTCATGCTAAAAACTCTCAATAAACTAGGTGTTGATGGAACATCTCAATAAGAACTACTTACGACAAACACATAGCCAATATCATACCGAATAGGCAAAAACTGGAAGCATTCCCTTTAAAAACCGGCACAACACAAGGATGCCTTCACACCATTCCTATTCAACATAGTATTGGAAGTTCTGGCCAGGGCAATAAGGCAAGAGAAAGCACAAAAGGCCGGGTGCGGTGGCTCACGCCTGTAATCCCAGCACTTTGGGAGGCCGAGGCGGGCGGATCACAAGATCAGGAGATCGAGACCACGGTGAAGCCCCGTCTCTACTAAAAATACAAAAAATTAGCCGGGCACGGTGGCGGGCGCCTGTAGTCCCAGCTACTTGGGAGGCTGAGGCAGGAGAATGGCAGGAACCCGGGAGACGGAGCTTGCAGTGAGCCGAGATCGCGCCACTGCACTCCAGCCAGGGGGACAGAGCGAGACTCCATCTCAGAAAAGAAAAAAAGAAAGCACAAAGGGTATTCAAATAGGAAGAGAGGAAGTCAAATTGTTTGCAGGTGATATGATTGTGTATCTAGAAAACTCCATGGTCTCAGCCCAAAAACTACTTAAGCTGAAAAGCAACTTCGGCAAAGTCTCAGGATACAAAAATCAATGTGCAAAAATCACAAGCATTCCTATATGCCAACAATAGACAAGCAGACAGCCAAATCATGAGTGAATTCCCATTTGCTACAAAGAGAATAAAATACCTAGGAATCCAACTTTCAAGGAATGTGAAGGACCTCTTCAAGGAGCACTACAAACCACTGCCGAAGGAAATAGGACACAAACCAATGGAAAAAATATTCTATGCTCAGGGATAGGAAGAATCAATATCGTGAAAATGGCCATACTGCCCAAAGTAATTTATAGATTCAAGGCTACTCCCATCAAGCTACCACTGACTTTCTTCACGGAATTAGAAAAAACAACTTTAAATTTCATATGGAACCATAAAAGAACCCATATAGCCAAGACAATCCTAAGCAAAAAGAAAGCTGGAGGCATCATGCTACCTGACTTCAAACTATACTACAAGGCTAACCAAAACAGATATACAGACCAATGGAACAGAATAGAGACCCCAGAAATAACACCACACATCTACCTAGGAATACAACTGGTCTTGAACTCGTAGCCTCCAGTGATCCTCCTGCCTTGGCCTCCCAAAGTGCTGGAATTACAGGATTGAGCCACTATGCCTGGCCTATTTTAGCCTTTATTACCTGTTAATTTCTAAAGCCATTTCACTTAGTTGAAGTGACAGAAATATAGTTTTAGAGTTTTACTCCAAAATTTTATTTGTTGAATGCCTTCATACTATCCTGCCTATATGACTGAATTTATAGATTGTATGTAAACTTAGCCACCAAGTTGTCAATATGTTTTAGACTTACCATTTCTAAAATGGATGGTCGGCCTTCCAACTGGATATGAACACTGGCTTCTTTTCCACTTTCCATTTTCCCGAAATTACATAGGAAATTTAAACAATGTGGATCAGCTTTTATGCAGTACTTGAAAGGAATATAAAAGTGATACATTAAAATTTTTCAACACTGGAAAATATTTTTAAAATATTTTATATATAATTTAATATATACTCTAATGGCATTTTGAAAATCATCTTTCCATAAATATGAAATTTAACATCTGCTTTCCTCAGTGGCATTTAAATTATCTTTAAACAAGACATGAATGCTTATTTTCTAAATTATAATAAAGTATTTAAAGTAGAGCATATGTTCCTATTTGTATTAACAATCTTCTGGGACAGAACTTTTTAAAAAAATGTTCTAATCAGAGTCTTGCTAAGTTACATATTCTATGTTTGTTGTAAAACGTGGATCATTTCAAGGTGATGACTGCTTCTCCAGTTTCTTTTCATACATTCACTAAGCTGAAAAGAATGAAAATTAACCCATGCCACAAAGGCTGCCCAGGTGAAGACATCTTGGTGTCCTGAAGGGTTTGGAACAATGTTTTGTTGGCAAATAGTGGGCATTTGTTAGATAAAAAAATGAAACTGTATAACTTTTTTTTTCTTTTTGATATGGAGTCTTGCTCTGTCGCCCAGGCTGGAGTGCAGTGGCATGATCTTGGCTCACTGCAACCTCCACCTCCCGGATTCAAGCAATTCTCCTGCCTCAGCCTCCCACGTAGCTGGGATTACAGGCACCTGCCACCACACCTGGCTGATTTTTGTATTTTTAGTAGAGACGGGGTTTCACTCTGTTGTCCAGGCTGGTCTCAAACTCCTGACCTTGTGATCTGCTCACCTTGGCCTCCCAAAGTGTTTACAGGCATGAGCCACCATGCCCAGCTAACATATTTATATATGGGATAGACCCTAGGTCTTTCTCAACTCTACAACCGTGCTTGTTCCTTCCATGCAAGAATACCACCTAAACTTGGCTTCTCTTTTATTGAAGTGACAGCTCAAACCCATTGACTTGATTTTAAGTGTTTCACTTCTCTGTTGGAAAGCAGGAACTACAACTTGAAAAATGGAAACTTACCAATAGCCTCTTATCAGTCTTGGACAAGAACTGGAACATGCCTTTCAAGGTGTGCATTGCACTCTTTTGCTGCTCTAATGCACATACTCTTTGATAATTTTCAAAGTGGCATTCTCCAGTAGTAGTCTATGAAGATAGAAAGGAAGAGAAATCTTATCTTTCATCATTGGAAAAAACAGCAAAAAGCAACATGGTTTTAAAAGTTCCAGTAGCTTATCTTTGCTAAAATATATCAAGTACCTTTGAAATTGTAGAATTTTTTTTTTTTGGACAGATTTGGGAGTGATTAAATGTCTGTGGCAGAAACACAAAAACCCAGCTGAATTATAGAAGGTTGGATATAGGTTCTAAGCTGATAACATGGCCTTAAACCTTGCAGAAATGTAAAAATTGATATTGGAACATTAGCATGATATTAAATATTTCTTTTCCTTTATAGGGGAAACAATATAACACCATATTCTTCTCTCTGAATCCGGAATTTAAGTAGGATTTTAAAAAATCAGACCTCAAACATATTTAGATTTGTTGACTTCTGTCTTCAACCTGGCAAGCTCAAAACAATTCGGATGGAACCATCAATGAAAGAATATTGGTTCTTAAGAAGTGGTTTGAATAGTGCTTCCTTCAAAAAAGGCTATAATCCTCATATTTGCACAGTAGTTTCAAGTGCTATGAAGAAGTCTACCAATCAAGTTACTTCTGTAGGTCCATATCACACAAAAATGTATCTTAAAATAATTATTCAATGGAGATGGTAGAATATGGTTCTGTTATTTAAATCGAATGTAAAAGTTGCACTGTAAATCTATAGCTGTAATGAAATATATAATATTCAAAGCATAACTCAATAAATGCATGGTAAATTCATAGCTTACAGTGTGACTGAAAACAGTTATCCATTTTCGCATTATTACTTGAATAAAGGATTGGTTTGCATTTATTTTAGTATTTAAGACACACAATAAAGGTCAGGTGGAAGAAATACATTTTTACCTGGACATCCAAAATGTTGAACAGCTTATCAGTTTGGGGGCTGAAAGAATTTGGTACCATTATTTCCATACTAACATTAGGAGCCATGCTATTGCCAGTGTTGATAACCTGGTAAGAAGGAAAAATTTTTAACAAATGTTTTCTATAAATGTAAGTGCAGATATCAATGAACTTTGAGTTGATCCCATATATTCCATGCAACATTTATAGTGGTGGAGGTTTATAGTTGGCAGCTGCACAAAAAAGGGAGGCAAGATATCCATAGTCAGAATTTTTAAAGTTTGCTAATTTTGAATGAGTCATTATATCTAACCTTCTAGTTTTGGTATTGTTGAAAACAAAAAGTACAGGCTGATGGTTTATTGGAGAAACAGTCTTAGGAGACAAACAATATATATTTGTATGTTACATTACATATTTTAAAAATATTTGGTTCTCATGAGGTGGGCCAACATTTTGGTATTCACCAGCTAAGGGAAATGCTAACAGATGTTCTTAGAGTTCCCAAGACAAAAGTTAAAAAATGACAAGAGTTATGACCAAAACTCAGATATTGTAATTCTAAATCCTATGATGTTATTGCAAAAGCATTCTGTGCTGAGAGGATAATCAGCAGGAGAAAGTGAATAAAAATGTATTTTTATTCAGGATCTATATGCTGATGCATTCAGAAAAAAGTATGTTGTTGGGTTTTGAGAAAGCACAACAGGTTTTTAACAATACTTGTCAAAAAATGCATAACAGGATGATAAATCTGGGGATTGAAGATTCCTGAAAAGGGAAATGGGGCCAAAATATAGCCTACCGAACTGGCAGCTTAACTATAAAACCAATACAGTAAGTCAGAAAGAGATGCATCCCAATACCTCGATTAAAAAATGACCTGCAGACCTGCAGTCATTTTATGAACACGTGACAAAGATGAAGAAAATGTCTCCAGATTGGGAACAGGTGGTAATTACTAATCCATAAAAGAACAGGGCAGTTGCAGAAGGAAATGTCAGCAACAGATACCTAGCAGTGCCCAGTACTACAGACAAGGTCTTCTCGATGCCATTAAATATCAATCTAAATCACAAACATCTCTGTTTGCCTAACAACAATTAAACCTCTAAGAATATCTACATAGTTGGCTAGACACAGAAATCCTATATACCACAAGTTTCTCTAGTCCCAGCCACTACATTATAAATTTAGTAGCAAATACTTAACTATTAATTGTAAATTAATAAATCATCTAGAGTACAGTTTGGTTTCTGTTTTAGTTTATCAAAGCACAAACTCCCATTGGGTTTTAAAGAGCATTTCATAGGACTTCAAAGTGGAGGAGGACTAAAATTTTTCAACATTAGTATCAACTAGTATAACAAAAATTGGAATATACATAGAGTCAACAGGATTTCAAGGTCATTCTTTTTCCACAGATCTGGGGCAGGGCCCAGGAATTTGCATTTTGGATAGGTACCCCAAGTGATTCTAATACGCATTTTGAAAAGCATTGTCTTACAAAATATTATACCTAATCCAAGATTTACTCGCATATATAGATTATAAGAATGCTTGGACAGTGCTTTTGGTTCAAAGAATTCTTTTTTGGAAATTACTAATACCAGTATCTTTGATACAGCAAAAATATCAGTTTGACAGCAAAAATATTTTTAACTTAGGTTTACATCAGTCTCCGAATACTTCTGAATTATGATAGTACTCTTTACTTTAAAAGGTTACTTAAAAATTGATAAAGCGCTTGTCACAGGTCGTAAACTTATGGCTTGAAAGGCCGACCAATGTGATCTTAAATGGAGATGGGAGGTAAAAGCCTCCTTTACTTTGTAGTGTTGAGGTATTTATAAGCTTGAACCAAGAAGAAATTTCACTGATTTGCACCCAAAGACGCCTTCCCTTGGCCTGTCCTGCTTTCTGTGTGCGTCTCTAGCAAATTCAGCTCACCCCATAACTTTGCCTGTTTCAAGGCATTCTCTCTGTTCCTGCATGCTGTTTCTCACCTGTCCTGTAAGGAGACATGGGCTTGAATACCAGAGACAAGACAAGTGGAAGGAAAGCAGTAGGGGTCTGAGAGGCAGGAGTACCACTGCTGCAGCCCCATTCCAGCCAGCCGTGGTCTACAGAGGCTGAGGGATATCACAGGTATACAATGTCGCTTGGAGCAATGCGTCAGTGATAGCCTTTTAGGTTGTTACAAATATCAACACAATTAACTTTTCTTACATGGAAAGTTAAGTTCATTTTCTCCACCATGCACATTTCAGGCTCATTTTCATCATTTGATCCATACACAAATGAAGTTGGGTTTACAAACCTGGTAGAAACAAATTCAAATTTAATTAACTATCTTATTTGACAACATATTATAAAGAGTCTTTCCATAGACTGGATTATAGCATATTTAAAAGTCACCATGGAATACTTTTGGTTTTGTGGTCATATATACATTTTATTTAAAAAGAAATTAAATTGTGGCCGGGCATGGTCGCTCATGACTGTAATCCCAGCACTTTGGGATGCCAAGGTGGGCGCATCACCTGAGGTCAGGAGTTTGAGGGCAGTCTGGCCAACATGACGAAACCCCATCTCTACTAAAAATACAAAAAAACTTAGCTGGGCGTGGTGGTGCATGCCTGTAGTCCCAGCTACTCGGGAGGCTGAGGCAGGAGAATCGCTTGAACCCGAGAAGCGGAGGTTGCAGTGAGCTGAGGTCACACCACTGCCCTTCAGCATGGGCAATAGAGTGAGACTCTATCTCAAAAAAAAAAAAAAAAAAAGAAAAAGAAAAAGAAGGCCATATTCTCTGACCTGGGTGACAGTATCTGTCCTCACTGATATTCCTTTCTTGCTTTCCACAACACTACACCTTGCTCATTCTACTGACCATTCCTTCTCTTTCAGCCCTTAAGTGGTTTATGTAAATTTGGCAAATGTGGGATAACTTCTTAGCTTTTTCCTAAGGTTCTCATACCTCAATTTCTGTTACCCATTTTTGAGTTATTTCTTCCCATCTCATGATCCCTGCTGGCTACTTATAATGAACCCCAAATCTGGGGAACAAGTCTAACATTATTAAGTATGATAAATTTTTTGTTACAATACAAGGCTGTCACTCTCTTTTAAAGGCCTGTGATTCAACATTTTTATCTGCAATAAACTTTAAGAAATATGTTTCTAGGGAGACCTCTACTCCATAAGGTGCTCACATTTGGCAGCTAATATTAGGTAATCCCAAATTAGAAACCCATGAAACAGGAAAGGAATCAGCATAGATTTAGGCAGTTTAACAGTGAACATTCCTTATTCAAAATAATGAGATGTGAATAACAGAAAAATAGGAAGACACTCATCATGAGCCAGGAGGAGTGGCAAGATCAACATTGAAAACCAGGAAACATGCAGTGAACTTTCTATTTGCTTACTCGTGATTCTCTAGGTCTTACTCTGCTGTGAATGGCCTTTTCTTGCCTGTTTGCTTTATCTTAAACTTGATACTCAATTCCATCAGACACTGACATTTCACATTTACATGACTGTATATCACCTTTCTAAGTGGATAAAATGACTGGGGGACAGTTTAGATTTAGAGCAACAGGAAAGGCTCATCTGTCTATTTGTTCTGTAACTTATATCTTCTGTATAAAAATGTAGTTCTAAGGACTAACAGCATGAATAAGTTCCAGTGGAATTACTGAAGGTTTCCGTAAGCCCCCTTTAATTCCTTCTCCACACATCTCCTTCTTGGATGAGAGGGGGGTCCACTCAATCATTAAAATCACGAGGAAGCAATGAATTCTGGTACTTGGGCTGTAGTTGAGGAATCTGGTGATCCCATAGGTATAAAAAGTGGACAAGGGACACCTTGCAACCAGATCTCTCACATCGCAATCCATTTGCCACATGTGTAGATACGGGTCTGCAGAATAGTGATTTGGCTAAGTTTACACTTCTCTGAACTTCACATTTGACATGGGCGTTGAGTATGATTATGCAAACTGCACACTTTCTAATTCCTGATTAGGATTACACAGTGCACAACTGAAAGGCTCAGTGTGGCCTTGCTAGCTTACTGGGGCTCTCCCAGTAAGAAATCTCCTCCAACAGGGTACTAGTTTGATGTAGTATCAGTGATGATTATAGAGTGCATTATTATAATGGACAGCTAAGTAAGGAACTATAAAAACGAGGTAATTATTAAAAGAGTATAGTACCCTTTTTATTTTAAAAAAATTCTAGAGTACAGTTTTTTCATTAATGTAAGAAGCAAGGGAACTGTAAATCAGCTCTGAATTTGAAAGGAGGCTTTTGTGTCTACTTACCCATGAACAGTCAGCTTAACCTCATATTTTAAAGGTATTGCTACAGTCACTCTGCTGTGCTTTAGATTGTCCATTTCCCCTTCATTTTCACTACACAAATAGAAGACACCCTGTTAGAATTCATCAAGCAGAAAAATCTTCAGAGAGAACTAATTACATACCCTGTATACCTAATATACTCAGAGGTTTGCTTAGATGCTTTTTGACGAGTGGGGATAAAAGCAGATATGGCAGTAAAAATATTTTAGGATAAGGTTGGCAGAAAATTTCTCTCATTAAACTGTTATCATTTGCTTCTAATGCTAGAGGAGTTTTTTTTTTTAACAAATAGTTACATTTATTAGATTAAAAGTTGTTTTTTTAAAACATTTATGTTCTAGGTAGTACAAAAACCAAAATAAATAGGTAGTTTAGAAACAAATTTATTACTCTCTTTAGATTGAAGAAGTGTTTTTGCAAGACTTAATTCAATGATCAAAGAAAGCACATCAATCATAAAAGGTTTTAAACCGTATAGCAAGTGTCATACTGCCTTAACCTATCTTTATAATCAATTTTACTTAGAGATTTTGAGGATGAGAGGGTGACCAAGTTGTTGTGTTAGGTAAAATGAAGTCCATCTTGATGTTTACTCTGAATTTTTAAAAATATGTTGAAACTTCACTCATGAAATAGTCATTAACGATTTCCTATTTACTCTAGGAGATATATCTATGTCAGTCATTGCCCTCACTTTTAAATCTTGTAGAGTTATTACTGTTTATTCTGTTTTTGATTTCAAATACACAGAGTGATTCATGACACATCATGTCCACTCTAATCTAATCTAATAAATACTTAACATAGCTCAAGAGCTAAAACATTACCAGTCACTCCCATTTAACTATGTTGTTTGTTTTTTTTTTTTAAAGCAGACCATGTAAGGGAAGTTTTCTCTTACAATTAATGGAACAGAGTTTTATGGTTTTTCTAATTCCCCCCTCAAAATATGGGGGTACATTTCTAGTTCATTTTTATAACAATAACTTATACCAGGTAGCATGCACTGTGATATTGAGGTCCTCTTCCGCTCTGCTGAGTGAGCTCACATCCAGGAGAAAGCTAATATCTATCTGTAAAACACAGAGCAGGAAAGCCCATTAAAAAAAAAATCTTAAGTACATTTTTTATAATCTGAATTTTCTTCTTAAAAGTTTATGTTCTATGGAATGTAGAATTGAACTTATTCTAAAGGCATCAGCTACTCCTCCCTTGGCAGTAAGATTCAGGGAAGTTGTTGGGGTTGTGACAATTTTAAAGTACACACATTTACACAAGTAACATTCAGAGACAAAGGCGTCTCTGAATGTGAACGCAGGCAAGTCCAGACTGACAAAATTAGAAATGCTTTCACAACTTGAGTGAAGACTCTTGCCAAAAACACCTTTTTGTGTAGCAGAGGTAACATGCCTGGCAGACAGGACCACCTGGGGTGGGGGTGGCGGGGTGGGGAGTGTTGGGGAAGGGTGTGTAGGGGGAACAAAATTCTGATTGACACATGCACATGTCCATTTCGATGTAAACATGCCACCCCCTTTAAAACAGCAAACATTGGCCGGGCGCGGTGGCTCAAGCCTGTAATCCCAGCACTTTGGGAGGCCGAGACGGGCGGATCACGAGTTCAGGAGATCGAGACCATCCTGGCTAACACGGTGAAACCCCGTCTCTACTAAAATACAAAAAAAATTAGCCAGGCGAGGTGGCGGGCGCCTGTACTCCCAGCTACTCGGGAGGCTGAGGCGGGAGGCGGGGCTTGCAGTGAGCTGAGATCCGGCCACTGCACTCCAGCCTGGGCAACAGAGCCAGACTCCGTCTCAAAAAAAAAAAAAACAGCAAACATTGCCAAGAATATAAACACAAAGCTCAAAGATTTCAAGAACCAGTTTTATTTCATCATTCAGCTACCTACCCTAAGCTAAAATATTTATAACATTTTATATGCAACATAAAGATAGGGAAGAATAGAAAAATATTCATGATAGTGAACAAAAGGCATAAATGCAAAACACTTACCCTTGAGAGATGATCTACATATATATAGCCAATACTGCAGTCAAGTTGTACCATGCCAGAGTTATCTGTGACTTCACAGTTTATTTGCTTCTCTTCCTAATGGGAAAAATGAAACAACTGTTTTGGACAGGAAGGAAATAAAAACTTTGTAACATATGTTTAAGGATGGTTATGGAAAGGAATATCCCAGAAGTATTTGCTTTCCTAGGAAAACTATTTTCTATTTATGTTTATGTTTGAGATACATAGAAATATAAATAAATGATATAAATGTGTATATGTGTGTATATGTGTATGTGTGTGTGTATATATATACAGACATATATATACGTACATATACACGTATATATACACACATATATGTACGTGTATATATACATGTATATATATACACACATATATATGTATAGATGTATACCCTAATATTCAAACAGATTCTCCACAAAAAAAATTTCTGGACTTGTAGCTTTCATTCATCTTGGTATATTCCCTATTTAATCCAGGGTCTGAATTCCTTGAAAAATCATGAGGCAAGGAATCCATAAGGTTCATATTTTAATGGCCCTCTTCTGTCTGGTATGTGAGAATGTGTTTAAGGTATTTAATCAAAATAGCTATAATCTCAATAGGTGTAATGAGGTTATAATTGCAATAAGTATAAAATGCTTTAAAAATACAGTCTGAATATCTGAGTTTCCACGGTTACTTTTGCTAGTATTGCAAACACTAGAGAAAGAAGGTAATAGATATTCGTGAGAGGTCAAAGGTCACTCCTGGTGTGAAGGGTGGTCCCTGGACAAAAGACGAGTGAATTTGATAAAGGACAGAGAAAATTCCATTAATTGTCTGAGTGTCACCTTAAAATAAAGAACAGTAACTCTGGAGTCCAGGATGGAGGATCAATGTTACTTGTGCAAGGACCTCAATCAAGGGGCATACTATTTCAACATCAGACGTGTGCTGGCTACGGCAGTGAGAATGTAAAGGCACCCAAACAGCTTCCTCCTACTCCTAGCACTGGAAAACAGGAGGCTGATGCCTTTGGACTTTAGACCCAAGAACTTGCCATTCTGATCAGGGGCACGGAAGAAGTCTGCAAATAACTAAGAGCCTAAATATTAAGACTTATACCCCAAATCAGTGAAGTGAATTCTACCATTTACTTTTAAAAAATTAAGTAAAATACTAAGTAGTATCATGCTATTGTGGTTTACAGTACTTACCAGCTCTAAAATCTTAATGAAGTAAAGACCCATGGGTAGTTTGACATGTAGAGTCGTTTCATATGCATCATCTCCAGCATTAAACAAGGACACATTCAACATTAATGTCTTCATACTCCCAACAGCAAGGTAGGTTTTATTTTCATGGGGCCTAAAAATTAAGTAATATTATTTGGTTCTTGTTTAGGTAATAAAAATCCTTCTCTCTCTCTCTCTCTGTATATAGGCATACAAGGATATATGTATGTAATTTATGCTGAAAATAAAATACTAATTTTCTTGGAAAAACAATCATAGGATTGACCCCATGCAAGCAGATGTAAACCCATATTAAAAAGAATTCTTTCTCATGTTTTTGGTAAATTCAGTCACCTATTACCCAAGGAAAGTTTAATGAGCTATAATTAAAATGGCATCTTTTCTCATTTCTTTTCTGCATAACCTCTCGCTTCTATAATTTTAACATTTTCCTGATTTTTTCATAACGTTTTCTAAAGGCAAAGCAGTTTTTCTTTTCTTTCTTGCAAGCCTAAAATAGACATTGAACTAACTGCTGCCTGAATCAAGGGAGGAAAATGGAAGGAACTGGTAGAAAGGAGAAGACTAAAAGGAATGCTTGGTAGAAGTGAGCAAGGCAATGAGGAAGAACTACTATGTCCACCCACAAGTGCGTGGCACTAAAATCTGTGGGACTAGAATTAAAGTGTGAAGCAGCTGGTCACCCCCACCAGTAACTAGGCCAAATTTAAAAACAGAACTGGAGAAATGCTTCATCCTCCTGTGTATTGCAAAGTATAGATTGCTGCAAATCCACACATATGCATGAGTTCAAGTCCTGGCACTGCCAGCAGTTCTTTCCAGTGGGGAAGTAATTTAGCATTTTTAAGCCTCAGTCATCCTATTCCATACCACCTACCATTCTGTGAAGATCTGGGTCATGTATACTGTATGAAGCCCTTAGAATATTTTAAATATGAAGTATTTGAGACATAAGGAACTTATTAAAAGGCCATAGCTAGAATGTTCTAAAGTTCTGAAACAATTGCGAATTTCTACACAGTTCATTCTTTTTTCCCAGTGAGAGGGTTAGAACTGCTAGGTGCTAAGGAAAACTTTCTGTTACAGCATGTCATTTTATAAACTTTCCCCAAAGACAGAAGTTCTTAGATCTCTAGTAATTTAAAAATTGGAAAAATTAGTTCAAAGTCAAGAAGCATGTTACCCAAAGCAAAATATCCGGTGAGGATAGATAAAAAAGATAAATATCCACTTAGCAGTGTAGAATTTAGAAAGTTTCTTCAATAATGTTTAAATTGTGTCCTTTGAATCAACATTTGTAGAGAAGATTCGTGTTTGAAGAAACTTTTCATGGAAAGAGTAAAGATACAGTAGGAATTTAGTAGTTTTTGTGAATTGATTAAAGACAGAGTAAGCACAGAGTTTAAGAATATGTTTCAAAATTTCTGCTTTTAAGTATTACTTGAAGATTCATGAATGAATATAATTGAAAGTTTCCATACAATAAATCAGGCACTAAGTTCATTGTTCCCAAATACCAACACACTTCACTCCTTCCTAGAGCTGACATAATAAAGGAGAGATGTGTAAATAAACGTAAAAAATAATACACAGATGAGCAAGAGTTATGAAGACAGCTCTGAGAAACCACTTTTTGCCTGAGATAGTAAAGACATGATATTTTTTTCTTTCTCTACTACTATGGTTAAATTGGCTGCTCAAGAAACATTTTTTAAGTCTGAAAATGTCATGATTGAACCTAAATTCACTTGGATTGAGTTTCTAATTGATTTATCTGTCTCAAGTCCTTCTCCTCTCCTTTAATCCAATCTTCACACTACCAGAGGGTCATTTTCAAGAAAGCAAACTAGATAATATGTCTGTTAAGAACCTTACATTGCTTTCAAGATAAGAGTTCTGACTCCTTAGCATGACACAGAGGCCCTCCAGAGTTGGCCCCTGCTTCATCACTTTCACTGCACAATTCATTCTTTTGTTTCACAATTTTCTACAAACAGGTGTCTAATACATCAAGATGTTTTGTGTCTTCCTTCAAACTAGCACTCTGACGTCAACATCTCCTCTTCATGCATCTGATTTGTACTTATTCTTCAAGATTTAGCTTGGATGTCAATAATTCTTAGTTGTTCTTCCAGCTAAAACTCACTGTTAACCACCTTCACCTTGCACTGCTCTCCCCTAACAGCATAAGGTGGCAGCTTCTCACCTCTCCCAAAGTATACTGGGCACCTCTATAATAATGCGGTATTTTCACAATGTCAAGTCTCTGTCTGATTCCTCTCACCACTAGACTAATTTATCTTGGGGAGAAGATGCTGGATCGTGATTAACATGCTTTCTCAGAGCCTAAGAACATAGTATTACAAAAATATAAGCAGGTATGTACATGTCTGCATTAAACACAAAGAAGGGTTTGGTGGAGTCCAAGCAACATGTCAGAAAAAAAGGGAAATTATTGGATAAGTTATTGACTGTTAGAAGGTTATAAAAGTATCAGCATAAATACTGTCACGTTATAGCCTTAAGCCATGTTTATCTGTTCTATGATGGTATACAAATTCCAAATGCCTCACTAAGTAAATATCTAGTGTTACCACATTGTGATCTGTACCCCATCCAGAAAACCTAATGTTTTAGTGGTGATAAACCTACTGACATGACTTATAAATTAATGACATCATATGACCATGGCAAAATCAAAACTGCAAATGTGGTATGGTTTTTGAGAATTATTCTTATGAACCTCGGAATACGCAAATAAAATAACTTTAGACATTTTTCCCTACTTTTATAACTCTAATTTAACTTCTAAGAAAACAGGCACTTCACTTAATGCTTGAAAGTTCTTTTTTCTATTTTAAACTTATCAGAGTATAATACATGCATAGAAAAATGCACATAACCTAATTGTACAGCTCAATATTTTTTATAAGATGAATACATGTGTTAAGCACGCAGATCAAGGAAAAAAATATTAGCAGCCCTACTGTAAAACCCTCTGGGATTTTTTTCTTCCAGTTACTGGCCCCACCCTCCTTGATTTTTAATAAGTTGGCTTTACTCAATTTTGTACTTTATATAAATGTAATCTTTGAGTATCTGAGTATGTAATCTTTGAGTATCTGTTCTTTTGCATGGCTTTTATTCAAAATTTTGTGAGATTAACATATTGGTACGCGTAGTTGTAAAACGTTTATCATTGGTGTATATAGTCCATTTTATGAATATGCCACATCTTATCCTTTCAATTATCCATGGGGCTTTTGACAATTTCCAATTTTGGAACTAATATAGTTTTTTGTTCGACATATACATGTAATTCTGTAGGCTAGATATATATTTATATCTATCTTTATGTTCCTATCTAGGAGAGATTCTTATAATTTTTTAACCCAGGATTAATTTCTTTAAAATATTTGAATCTTGGCTTATTTTGGCAACCAGCCTAAGTTATACTGACAAACTACGTTTATAAAACAAAATATACTATCAGAAACTTTTAATAAAAATATATATACTTTAGAATTTCCATGTAAAAAGCAAGCATATCATAGAGTAGAGGTCTGTAAACTACTGGCTGAAGGCCAAATTCATATGTCTGCCTACTTTAGTAAATAAAGTTCCATGAGAACACAGCCATGCTTTTGCACTACAGTGACAGAGTCGAGTACAGAGTCGAGTAGTTGGGACAGAGATCTCTGTCCCACAAAAACTCAAATATGTACTATCTATCCCTTCACAGATAAAAGATGCAGGCACTTGCTTCAGAGCAATCCGATTGATGAGTAAATTAATTACAAAATAAACATATAACATATTGCCATATTTAATTGAAATCTATTTGTACTATTCTGACTATAATAGAAACTTCATTGTTTCAGATGGCATAGGATGCAGTTCTTTACCCCAATAAGCCATACAGAATTAGAGAAAATGATCCCCCAGTCCTCATAACTCCTCCAGACATGGAGAAGAAAGGAAAGAATGCTACTTCCATATGCATCATCTCTACGTTGGGATCCTTGATTTGAGCAGTTGGATATGCTGGAAGAATGTGTAATAACAAAGCAGTAATTCTAAACCCTGGGCACTACTGCAGGGTGGAGGAGTCTGAGTGACGGTGTGTTACCACAACATTTTAGGGAATGGCTGTGATTTACTCATGCCTGTGTTGTAAACCTTGGGGTTAAGTAGTATGCATCTGCTTGGTGTCACTGTTAAATGGGAGAGAGGAAATGTGTGGGAATATGGCTGTCCCACATCCCCCCCCTCACCACCCCAACTCTATAATCATGTTAGGACTAAAGCAACCTAAGAGGTTCTAAAAGTAAACTTCAGCTTGACATTAAAGTTTAATTAAGACTTGTAGAAGAGCTGCCCAGAAATAGACATTTATAAAATATTCTGGCTTGTAACCAAAGCATTAGTCACTGAACACCTTTGGGAAAGAAGTTGGCACTTAGACAAGCAACAGAAGGTGAAAGCACTGCATAAACAGCTAGGTTCCAAGACAACAGCAAATTAAAGAGAAACACAATGTTCACATTTCAGCAGCTAGATTCCTGGTTTATTTTCCATTTTTAAGCTATTTTGCCACATTACCATAATTACAATTCTACTTTTTTTCCCCCAAATATACATCTTACTGTAAATTGATTCATTAACAAGATGCTCTCAGAAAGATACCTACCAGCTTCCTCTGTGAGACTTAATAAAGAACCAGGTGCACATCTGGAAGTGCGACAAGACTGAATCAGAGCTGTCCCCGGGACTCATAGTTCATTCTTCATTAAAACATGCATAATGCAGACTTGAAATTTACAAAGCAGCCTAGAATCCATGTAACTTAAACAAATCAAGGTACTGTGTACGTACAGAATCATAACTTAATAAGTGACAGAGGAAAAACAGAAAAATGATGTACTGCAGCACCAGGCTCTATGTTTTTTTCGGAGTGAATAATAGAGCTTTATTTTGCAAGAAATGCTCCCCAAGTCTTAGTATAATGAATTCATCTTGTCTGCCTAAAATGAATTAGGGCTTGATAGCTAACTTGTTTTTAATCAAGATGCTAGAATAAAATATAATGTAAACTGATACCACACTTCACTA